CCCAACTTCCAAATCCAGTAATTTATTTAAAAAAAAAATAAACATTTTGTCAGTAGAATCAAAACACTTAGTGAACAAGGAGCTATCTTAAGAAAAACTAAAGGTCGAATCTGAAGTTTATTATTCCTATGACTGGAGTGTTGGAATGGAAGGTTACAGGCTCTTTAGGAAAGACAGGCCTGGCAGGCGGGGAGGGGGAGTTGCCCTTTGTGTTAGGGATAGGCTGGAGAGTATGGAACTCTGTCTGGGGACAGGTGAGCAGTCCACAGAGAGTTTGTGGGTCAGGGTTAAAGGGAATATAGCTATGGGAGACATTACTGTGGGGATCTGTTACAGACCACCTGATCAAGGAGAACCTGCGGATGAAGCACTCCACAGACAGACAGGAAAAGCCTCACGCTCACAGACCCTTGTTCTCATGGGGGACTTCAACCACCCTGACATCTGTTGGAAGGATGGTACGGCCCGGCACAAGCAGTCCAGGAGGTTCCTCGATTGTGTGGAAGACAACTTCCTTCTGCAAGTAATAGAGGAGCAGACAAGGAGAGGTGCCATGCTTGACCTCGTGCTCACCAACAGGGAAGGGCTCATTGGAAATGTGACTCTCCAGGGCAGCCTTGGTTGCAGTGATCACGAGATGCTAGAGTTTGAGATCCTCAGGACAGTGAGAAGAGCGTGCAGCAAGCTCACTGCCCTGGCCTGCAAGAGAGCAGACTTTGGACTCTTCAGGAACCTGCTTAGGAAGGTTCCATGGGATACAGCCCTAGAGGGCAGAGGGGCCCAAGACTGTTGGTTGATATTCAAGGATCACCTGCTACAAGCTCAGGAGTGTTGCTTCCTGACCAATTTGGTGGCCTTCTATGATGGGGCTACAGAACTGATGGACAGGGGTAGAGCAGTTGATGTCATCTACCTGGACCTGTGTAAAGAGTTCGACACTGTCCCACACGACATCCTTGTCTCTAAACTGGAGAGACATCGATTTGATGGATGGACCACTCGGTGGATAAAGAACTGGCTGGCTGGCCGCACGCAAAGAGTTCTGGTCAATGGCTCAACGTCCAGCTGGAGACCAGTAACAAGTGGCATCCCTCAGGGATTGGTGTTGGGACTGGTCATCTTTGTCGCTGACATGGACAGTGTGATTGAGTGCGCCCTCAGCAAGTTTGCCGATGACACCAAGCTGTGGTTCAGTTGATACCCTGGAGGGAAGGAATGCCATCCAGAGGGACCTCGACATGCTTGTGAGGTGGGCTGATGCCAATCTCATGAAGTTTAACCATGACAAGTGCAAGGTCCTACACCTGGGTTGGAGCAATCCCAGGCACAGCTACAGGTTGGGCAGAGAAGAGATCCAGAGCAGCCCTGCAGAGAAGGACTTGGGGGTATTGGTTGATGAGAAAATGAACATGAGCAGGCAGTGTGCGCTTGCAGCCCAGAAAGCCAACCGTATCCTTCAGCAGGTTGAAGGAGGTGATCCTGCCCTTCTACTCTGCTCTCGTGAGACCTCACCTGGAGTACTGTGTGCAGTTCTGGTGTCCTCAATATAAAAAGGACATGGAACTGCTGGAACAAGTCCAGAGAAGGGCCACGAGGGTGATCAGGGGACTGGAGCACCTCCCATATGAAGACAGGCTGAGGAAGCTGGGGCTGTTCAACCTGGAGAAGAGAAGGCTACATGGAGACCTCCTAGCAGCCTTCCACTATCTGAAGGGGGCCTATAGGGATGGTGGGGAGGGACTCTTCATTAGAGACTGTAGTGACAGGACAAGGGGTAATGGGTTAAAACTTAAACAGGGGAAGTTTAGATTGGATATAAGAAGGAAATTCTTTCCTGTTAGGGTGGTGAGGCACTGGAATGGGTTGCCCAGGGAGGTTGTGAATGCTCCATCCCTGGCAGTGTTCAAGACCAGGTTGGACGAGGCCTTGGGTGATATGATGTAGCGTAAGGTGTCCCTGCCCCCATGGCAGGGTGGTTGGAACTAGATGATCTTAAGGTCCTTTCCAACCCTAACTATTCTATGATTCTGAGCAATACATGGATGAGGGTCTAGGTAGAGGAAAGTTTTACACACACAGATGAAAATACTCCTAGTACCTTTCTACTAGTATTACCTTTAAAGAAAGTGAAAACTTCAGTCAACATTCCACACTATTTTGCTTTCTTTTGAATTCGACTTTGTTTATTATTCTCCTGAATTCTTCATTCCCATGGCCAATTTCCGATTCTTTTTCAACTTCTAACACACCAACTGAAATCTATTTAATGATGAAAATTCCCTTTCACAAGCTTTTTACTTTCTGTTCTTCAACTACTTCTCTACCAAACTAGTGTGTCCCCCCATTATTTGCTACCACATGAAATCCCATGTTGACCTTACAGAACTGGTTTCGTTCACCTGAATTATTATGTATCTCATATGCATAAGACAATCTTGCAAAGCAAAATTGAAATTAGTACAATTTGATTCAGCTAAGAACCTCTGTCGTTCTTACACTACTGATACTAGCACATTTAGCTATTTACATTATTGAATGTCAGACTCATTATGAATAAATGTTATGACGATGAAATAATGAAACAAAAAGCTTTCAACACAAGGCATATTCTGTACATTTAGAAGTGTGTGTAATAGTTGATTAACTGAAAATAGTATATACTAATTATAACAGCAAGTGTTGCTGAACTTTGTGAAAGAAAAATTTAATAAGATCTGACTGCAGTGTTTTCAAATCATTATTGGAAAGATGCTAGTGATTAGTACCTAAGCATATCTCAGGACTATCACAGTATCACAGTATGCTAGAGATTGGAAGGGACCTCAAAAGATCATCTAGTCCAATCCCCCTGCTGGAGCAGGAACACCTAGATAATGTTACACAGGAATGTGTCCAGGCAGGTTTTGAATGTCTCCAGGGAAGGAGACTCCACAACCTCCCTGGGCAGCCTGTTCCAGTGTTCCGTCACCCTCACTGAGAAGAAGTTTCTTCTCAAGTTTAAGTGGAACCTCTTGTGTTCCAGTTTGTACCCATTACCCCTTGTCCTGTCATTGTTTGCCACTGAGTAGAGCCTGGCTCCATCCTCGTGACACTCCCCCTTTATATATTTATATACACTAATAAGGTCACCCCTCAGTCTCCTCTTCTCCAAACTATAAAGACCCAGCTCCCTCAGTCTTTCCTCATAAGGGAGATGCTCCACTCCCTTAATCATCTTTGTTGCCCTGCGCTGGACTCTCTCCAGCAAGCAGCTCCCTGTCCTTCTTGAACTGAGGGGCCCAGAACTGGACACAATAATCCAGATGGGGTCTCACCAGGGCAGAGTAGAGGGGAAGGAGGACCTCCCCCCTTCAAATACACCCCAGGATGCCACTGGCCTTCTTGGCCACAAGGGCACAGTGTTGGCTCATGGTCATCCTGTTGTCCACTAGGACCCCCAGGTCCCTCTCCCCTACACTGCTCTCTAACAGGTCGTTCCCCAACCTATACTGGAACCTGGGGTTGCTCCTGCCCAGATGCAGGACTCTACACTTTCCCTTGTTATATTTCATCAAGTTATTCCCTGCCCAACTCTCCAGTCTGTCCAGGTCTCGCTGGATGGCAGCACAGCGTTCTGGCGTGTCAGCCACTCCTCCCAGCTTAGTGTCATCAGCAAACTTGCTGATAGTACACTCAATTCCCTCATCTAAATCGCTGATTAATATATTAAATAATACTGGTCCCAGTACTGACCCTTGAGGCACTCCACTAGTTACAGGCCTCCAACTAGACTCCGCCCCATAGACTACAACTCTCTGGCTTCTCTCCTTCAGCCAGTTCACAGTCCACCTCACTACCTGATCATCCAGACCACACTTCCTCAATTTAGCTGTGAGGATGCTGTGGGAGACTGTGTCAAATGCTTTGCTGAAGTCAAGGTCGACCACATCCACCGCTCTGCCATCATCCATCCACCGTGTTATTTCCTCATAAAAGGCTAAGAGATTGGTCAAGCATGATTTCCCCTTGGTGAAGCCATGTTGACTGCCCCTCATAACCCTCTTATCCTTGATATGCCTTAAGATGGCACCAAGGATAAGGTGTTCCATCACTTTCCCAGGGATGGAGGTGAGGCTGACCGGTCTATAGTTACCCGGGTCCTCCTTCTTGCCCTTTTTGAAGACTGGGGTGACATTTGCTTTCCTCCAGTCCTCAGGCACCTCTCCCGTTTCCCAAGACTTGGTAAAGATGATAGAGAGTGGTCTAGCAATGACTTCCGCCAGTTCCCTCAGCACCCGCGGGTGCATCCCATCTGGACCCATGGATTTATGGATGTCCAGATTGCTCAACTGGTCTCTAACCCATTCCTCATCGACTTAGGCAAACCGCTCCGTTGACCTGACTTCATCTAAGGTCTCAGGAGCACAGGGCTCTTCAGGACTGCCTGCAGCAGAGTAGACAGAGACAAAGAAGGCATTCAGTAACTCTGCCATCTCTGTATCTTCTGTCACCAGGGCACTCATCCCGTTTATCAGTGGGCCTACATTGCCTCTGGTGTTAGTTTTATCTGCCATGTATTTGAAAAAGCTCTTTTTGCTGTCCTTGACCCTTTTTGCCAGGTTTAATTCTAAGGAAGCCTTAGTCATCCTAGCTGCCTTCCTATATCCTCTAGCAGCAGCCTTATATTCCTCCCAAGTGGCCAGCCCCTCCTTCCATGACCTGTAAACTCTCCTCTTCCACTTGAGCATACTTAGCAATTCCCTATTTAGCCACGCAGGTCTCCTGGCCCTCTTCCTTGACTTCCTACGTGTCGGGATGCTCTGATCATGAGCTCGGAAAAAGCAATCCTTGAATGCCAACCAACTATCTTGGGCCCCTTTACCTTCAAACAGCTTTGCCCATGGGATTTCCCCTAGCAATTGCTTAATTTATAAAGACTATAAAGAAACTGAAGCGGATTCCATAGGAAGAAAGATAGGACAACTGAGAACAAGACAACTTTTAGTGTAAAAAAAAAAAAACCAAAAAAAAAAGAAAATTAACAAATTTAACACAGGAGAAGAAAATCAGTCAAGAAACTGAAAGGGCACAATTACTGACACAAATTCTTTCTCCTGGAATTAAAATTCCATCCAGTACCAGAATAAGTAATAGCATGTTTTTCTCACTCTAAATATAAATATGCTTAAAAAGTTTCAAAGACATTATTATGGCCAAGCTACTCTGAATGATAAGTAAAATCATAGTATCGAAATCCAAAGGTATTCTTGCAAATATTATACCATCACACACATACATACTGTTAAAACTTTTTCATGTGCTGCACCTAGCGCACCTTCTGATTAGCATTCTAAAATACATGACACAAAGCTAAAGAAATACTTTCGCTTACTTTTACATACAGTTGTCTGCTATATGTAATTTAAAATAATTTTTACAAAAAAATTGACAGCAATCATGAAAACAGTCTCTGCTAAATATTTAACTACATTAAAGACAACATTTGTGGTGCACGTTACAAAATTTCCACAGTTGAAAGTGGGAAAGTTTCACTTATAGTTGTCCACCTACTTACCAGTCATATATCTATCTATATATTATTAACACCATTACACATTTTGGTATTCTTCATATTTTCTCCTTTCTCAATACAGTACTTCAGTGGGGGAAAAAGGTGCAGCAAAATAATTTGACAAAGATAAAATATTTTGATTGAATTACTGAATGTAACAGTTTTACTACTTTAGTCACCTTTCTACACTTTCATGGGAAAAACCTTCACACAAAGTTCAAAAGAAACAATTCATTTTCAAGTGCATACATATAAGAGAAAGGCCACCCATGCAAGCTGCTTAGTAGAAGGCAACAAAAAATTACATGAGAAAAGGTGACACTATAGAAAACATACCTGTTAATGTAAAGAAATAAAGTTCATGAATACATACAGTAAAGTGAAATTGTGAAGTGCTGTTGTAAACCACGGAAAACAGCATGTAGAAACTCAGTCATTCCTTCCTGATTTACACTTGTTTTCTTATCCCATCACCCCCTCATTTACTGCACTTACTCTGAAGAGGCTTTCCATATACTGCAATGGGAAAGAAGTGGGATTATTACATAGCTGTGCAGAAAATAGTTTTTAATCTATTCAGAAAACCTAGGGACTCCTACCATACATGAAAAAGCACTTCAAAGCAAGCATTTGTTTTCAGTTTTCATGTTCCATTTAGTCTATGGGTTTCCAACATGAACATGTTCTATCTTCCTACCACAGCAGATCTTTTCCTTCCTTCATTCATTCTTCTTTCATTGTTTATGTAGTTTATTCTTAAAAGTATATATCAGGCTTTGGATACCAATTATGAGCATCCATTTCTTTGAACTGCATATTGAATACAGGCTGTAATCAAGAGTCCAGCAAAAAGGGTAGCATCTGCACATTTAGAATTCCACATCAGTTCACAGTTAAGGGTAATGGTCTTCAAGCAGAAGGAAGACACGCAGCTGAGCACCAAGCAAAAATTTAAGTGCCAGAATGCAGGAGTAATTTTTACTTAGAGATTGCAACTTGAACTGCAACAACTCCTGGATCTGTTAGCTCTGTGTAACAATCTGACTCCTGCAGCATAATTTTAAAAATAGGATACACCTGCCAAACCCAAATTTGCCTATCTTTGAAGTACAAAACTTCAGTATCTGTTTTTCCTACAGGCATAAAGAAGTAGCTCTACACTCTGGAACAATGAATGATAATCCATGTATAAGCACCCTCAGACATTACTGAGATGACTGGCCACCTTCAGCCTATGACTTCCTTTTTCCTCTCTTTATCCCCTTCAAGCAAGGCAAACGAAAACAATGTTCATCATTTTACATACAGCATGATGAAAACGTATGGGAGAGTAAGTAAGCAGAGGCTAGGAGCAAGATGAGTAGAGAAAAAAGAGAAACAGAGATTCGGAAATACTTGGTTTTTTTAACCTGTGTCACATTTGTGGTAATTCCTCAAATCACCAGACTTAGAGGATAACAAACTTCCTTCAAAAGCCTGAATATGAAGTTGAACACATGCTTACATAATGATTCCTCAGCCACAGTTGCACTGTGTCTGAGCATCTTTCTGTTTTAGAATCATAAAATGCTTTTACTGCCTGACTATCCAAAGTATCGCCAGTCTAAGTATCTTACCAGATACTGACTTCCAGTCAGCAATAACCCTCATTGACTTCCCCATTCACAGCTGAAACAGGGTTAACACACTTTTGTCTTCAGGTATGCATGAAACCACTACTGCCAGGATATCCAGGATACTTTTCACTGCAGTTTGCTTGTTTCCATTTCTAAAATAAACAAGAAAAGCCTTCTCAAATCTCTAGCTGCCTTGCAAGTCATCTAAATCATTCAAAAGCACGAAGCACAGTGAATTCAGTATGACTGTCCTCTTAAAATACAGCTTACAAGCAAGTAACAAACCCTTACTACTTCGTATTTTCCCACTCTCCTCAAAACTTGAGAAAACATACGACTTTGCAGATATATCACAAACTGCAATAGCTTTAGATGATTGTTATTATTTTGATCAAGTGATACTGACTCCATTCCAGTTATCTACCCAAATTACAATTCTAAGTTATTTCAGCTAATCTTTTTCCATTCAATTTTCATTGAATTCCGCCCCTGCCACTGGGAATATTTATGAATTATTTTCACCTTTCTACATGCTTTTCATGAACATACGCTATAGTCCTAGATATTGTTTTTATTTTACCTATGTCTTCTCTAATTGTTGGGACATAGATAAATACCCTGAAACATCTGCTACCTGATTGTTTCTTCCTGATCTGGTTTCCTTCTTTTTTATGCATGTACACATGTCAAACAAGAATTTCTTCCTAAATTATTCTGCATGCCAAAGAAGATGAAGTATAACTGTCCACATAAAACTTAAATGTAGTTTTTCTAAAAATGAGGTCACATGGTGAAAACAATAAAAAAAGTTATCAAATAGTAAGTTTTTTTTCCACTTTCACCTGACTCTTAAATGAACCAGAATTACCTTTCTGATTACAGAGGACACACTACTAAACACGCTATTACAGCTTCAGATGGTTATGGCTAGTTATACATTTCGTTGTATGAAATAAGCCTGAATCTTACAATATTTTAAGACTATTTCTGACGTGGACATTGATTTTCCCTCTGAATTTAACTTTCTTAATTGAAAAGCAGTCTAAGACTGAATTTGTCTACTGTTCTAACAAAACAAGATTGCAAAATAAGTATTAGAAGTAATTGTATAGCTAATTGTCAATACCTCAATTGCAGTAGAAAATGAAGCTAAACTGCTTAAAACTTTTAGACTACTGTAGGACAATCACATTTATACCTAAGCTTTCTGAATTAAACAAATACTCAGGATGTTGGCTATGACTACAAATGTATCTAATATTTGATAGTATAACAGCAGGCCAATAGCTACAAAAACTGTTTGGCTTATTCTGGATCTGAATTACCTCTCCAAAATACTCTTGCCAATACCCAGAGACCAGCTATACCTGCTGATAAAAGTAAATTTTATCAGAGTAATGTGTAGTCATTTTTTGCCAGGTTGTCTTATCTAGCTTTTCTGCTTGTACAAACTGAGTCGAAGGACATTCCATGAACTCTAACCTTTTGCCTGGTAGTGGAGAAGCAACTACTAAGTCAACAGATAGACTGTGTTCTATTTCACATCTACTTCTGTTTTTTCTCCAATCACATAACAAAGCAAGAATTTCTCACTAGGAGCAGTTTTATTTAATTTGTTGACTCTTTAACAAAAAGAATTCCTATAAGCCGTATCACTTTCTTGCACCAAAAACTTGACCATGAACCAACATAGTTACTACTGTTGAGAATGAGAGGACATAATCAGCCTGCCTCAGAATTCAAAACTAAGGTAATGGCTTACTCCAGCAGAAGTGGGCTTGCACCTGCCTTCACTCACGCCCTCATTCCTCCATCAAACAATAGCAGAGCCAAAAGCCATGCACATACATCATATGAAAATTCAACTACACGCTTCACAGGATGAGGGTAGTGCGGCCCTGGAACAGGCTGCTCAAAGAAGTTGTGAATGCTCCATCCATGGCAGTGTTCAAGGCTCAGTTGGACAGAGCCTTGGGTGACACGGTTTAGTGTGAGGTGTTCCTGCCCATGGTGGTAGGGTTGGAGCTAGATAATCTTCAGGTCCTTTCCAACCCAAACCATTCTATGATTCCATGCCATATATGAACTCACTGCATTTAAGAAAAAATAAAATAAAACAACTGAAAGACATACTGAAATGGTTAATTCCTCTGTAAACTGAAACAGTAAACTCAATAAAACAGCATTACAGGCCAATCATTTGGGAACAATTATTATAAAGCTGAATAACACTCCCCATCCTAGAAGAGCAAGGATAATGGCATGTTATCTCTCAAAATCCTACTCTTTGTAAACAACTATCTTAACTTGTTGAATTTGAAAGCTGTGCAAACACACTGCAATCAGAGTTACTATAACTGGTAGAAGTCTTTGTCTAAATAATCTACAAAATGTCAATGTAATACAAATAAGATAAAGAGGAGTTCTTAATGACACAACTTTAGTATTTACAGTATTCTCAACAGCACTTAAATCTGCATTGGAGATACAAAGGGCACATTTTTTCCTAGGCTGACAGCATGCTTAGTTCTCTCATTTACACCACATTGCAATAACATAAAGAGGGGTTTACCATTAATCCAGGTTTTACTACAAAGCATCCCGTTATTTCTCTGTCAAACACTGGCAAGAGTGCCAAATGTCTGTCATCCAATTCAGAGGATTAAGTCTTCTTTTATAGTGCAATTCCTGTACGAATTTATAAAAATACAGATATAGTTTCTTAGAGCTGGTCACAGTCTATATTTTGGCCTGAATTCATCCCGCAGAGGTTGAATATGACAGCTGGCAGGAAACTGAGGGGAGAATACATCCTCCCCCTTTTCAGTCACCACATTTCTGTTGCCATAGTGATTAATCCTCAATTGAATGGCTGTCTTTGTACATTTCTTTTCAGTAAAACTTTAAGTAAACTTAAGTTGAAAACATGCAGTTGACTGAAAAAAAAAAAAAAAAAAGATTCCACATATTCAACAGGTACAGCACAAGTTCTTGTGACTAATATTTTTCCACATATTAAAAGGTGCAAATTAGCTTTAATGCAGGACATCATCAGTTTTTCAAATTACTTAGTATGCCTGTTCCCATTTTGTGTCTTTTTTGTGAAGCCTCCAGGCCTTCTCCAAAGTCATCCCCATGCTCCAGCCCCCCAGATTCTAACTGAAGAAATACTACTCAAATTCAGCATTATAGGAATGACAGAAAGCCTATTCCGGACTTCTGCACTTGTGTAAAACATTTCACATAGGCTGTTTTTGCCAATTAACATAGAAATTAATTAGGAAATTACCGAATGCAGTCATTTAATTCAGAATAGACTAGAAACATTAGAAGACATCTGTTGACTTTAGGAGGCTTTTATTTCTTATATCAGCTAAGAAAAAGTTTCACAAAAAGGAGTGCAAAACCAAAGCAAGTAAGAACCTCCTGCAGTGAAAATTATCCGGGTTCCTTTGGAACCTGGAACTCATCAGAAAAAAGGATCAAACCTTAAAGCCTCTAAAAATACTTAGTAGATAACTGTGGTCTTAGAGAAGTTCTTAACAATTTCAATTTTTTCCCTCCAAAATAATGATGTCAGAATAATTCTGAGTAAAACATCACATGAATACCTCAGGGTTTGGTGTGGTTTCCCCCACTTTCCCCTTTTCTTCTGTCTCTCCCTGCCCCCACCTTGAAAGGCTGAACTACATGTAGATCTGCTCTGAAAATTATAGTCTGGCTTTATAAATCTGCCATATCCAGTCTGCAGGTTCATTTCCTATATTTTCTTTTCGAAACTTTTGGTTTTGATGTTCTTATTGCTGTAGTTACACAAGACCATTCTTCATTTTGGATTTCAGCTACCTTCTTAACAGATAGTGATGGGGCAATAAAAACAATCTTCCACTTATTCAGTGAAAAAAAAGGAATTTTTAACAATGTCTATTTGCACACACATGTAAACAGAAGACCTGAATTTAAACTAAAATGCAGAACACGGATTACTCGGTGCCATTAAATCAGGCTAAAACCCAATAAAATAATACAGGAAAAAACAAGTTAATTATTCCACTAGTTTAACTTAATATAATCTTTCCTCACACGTCTACCTGAGGACCAGAAAACCCTTCCTCTGAATAATTTGTTAAATAGAATTTCAAGGGTGTTTTTGTGGTCATATGCGTAAAGAAGCAACAAAACCCACTTCTTAGTAACTTTTACTGGAGTGGCTATCTTCCATACTAAACGATGCGCATGTTCTGCCCTCAGATGTTTAGAATACTGAAGCCTGGCATGAGTTCTCCTGCATAATGCATCACAGATCTGACCATAACTTCTGCCTTAACAGTTATACATTGGTACGAAAGATTACAAATAGCCAGAGATCTTAAACTGCAAAGAGACACACTTGACTCCTTTCTAAGACACTTGGGTCCTGGGACATCCAGCAATTTTTTAGAACTACGGAAGCTGAAATGTATTATTAGACTATTATACAGTATAAACTGTATCTCCAAAAATTCTCCAGTAACAGCTTTCTGCCACACTTCTGAATGAAACAAAAATTCCTGGCTTTGTTTTGATCACTAGGGCTTTTAAACACCTCTAATTACTGATGCTTCAGCATCTCCTACCTAAACAGCACTATAAGAAACATGAACTATTTGAGAGAAGATTATCATACTTCACTATGTCCTTCTCAAAATCTACACTGATCTCACAGCCAGTTGAAGACAATGGTCAGAAAACAATCTTCAGACACATGATAATACATATAGTTCAGGAATTGTCAGTCATAAGTTAAAATATTTTTACTGGAATTCTAAGCATTCTGCATTTAAGGGGATATCATTATATAAATGCCATGTCTATCTAAAACCCCCCAAACTGTTAGTCTTTTAAGTGCCCCCCCCATACTTTCAAAATAAGGTATAAGCAGATCTCTGCTAATGTAGATGGATTTATGAAAGCCATCTCCATAACAAGACAACAGTATCTCTCTTCATTGAAAACGCTACTCCAACTCACCTAACAGCTACAGAATCCTCTACTTTCATGTAATCCCATGGATTTCTGTGATAAAAGGAATATACTCCCCAAAACACAATCTAATTTTCCTTTCTTCAGGATCATACAATTAAAAAAAAAAAAAAGGAAAAACTTTCACATTTGTTTCCTTCTACTATCATCATATACAAACTATCTTCAAATAATTTCCTTTAATTCAGATGCTAAACATCTAATGATATTTAAGACTAATGATATTTAACCAAAATATGGTTTATTCTCTTGCTTGTACAATTAAAGCATACTTTATACTGTTACTACTGTTACATTTTACCTCACCTTTCGCAGCTGGTAATCATGAGTTCTCATGATGTATATTTCTTGATGGCAGACTTCATATTCTGGTTGCTGTTACCTACACTGTATTTTCAATGGTCATACATAATTTCTGGAAATAAACACTAAACCAGCATTCACCTACACTGTATTTTCCATAGTCATACATAATTTCTGGAAATAAACACTAAGCCAGCATTCAATACTGTAAGTCTGAACATTCTAGCTAAACTACTCGTCAGTTTGCACAACTGATTTAAAAGAAAAAAGAATAGAAAATATGACTTCACTCCCTACCACCTCTGGGGAAAGGAGAGTCAAAGGCTCTGCAGCGATCTTGAAGCCAAGTACCAGAATTGTCATGGAGCCTGGAGCATAAAGCAAGCAAGAACAGAAGAAATAGTAGCAAGACCTATTTTTTCATAAAAAATTCTATTAAACCTTTAAAGGTGCAGAACAATAGCAAGTTAAAATATTTTATCACTTCAGAGAAAAGGCAGCTGGGCTATATGAATACTAGCACAGGTATTAATGACAGACTCACTACTTATTACTGGATTAAACAAGGTATGCTGGATTGAAACCTACAGTTTCAAAGGCTAACAGAGATTTGACTGAATTACATTAGTGCCAACTGTCCAGATTCAACACGGACCTTCTGAAGCCAAGTTAAGGAAAAAAACTACCACCAAGACCAACACCTTTTTCTATCCAAAAGTTCAAATCTTACAATTTTTAGAAGCAATTTAAATCCAAAGCTTATTTATTCACTAGTTAACCATGTTCTTACACAAGATGTTCTACATACCTTCAAAGTTATCTTTTAAGAAACAGAACACCCTTGCACCTGTCCCTTCTACCTTGGCTCTCAGGGATCATCTTCCCACACAACCTCTCTCACTTTGAAGGAAGTGTTCTCACAGGTTCTGCATTTTGCTTCAGCTTTAAGCAGTCTTTACAACCCAAGTGACTGCATTAGTCTCCATGCGTCAACAAAAAAGGAAGCATTAATACACATGATTTATACTCCTTTTAGCCACTGCAGGTAGAAAAACATAAATTAGCTACTGAAACTAAAGAGCTTAAATTACGATATAAAAGTTAACAGGAATTTAGTCAAGCCAAAATGCGATGACTAATCAATAGCAAGAAATAAACAAAATACCAATATTCTTACATGAGGTTACCTTGTTTAGTTTTACTTATTATTTATTACGCTTTGCTTAATACTTATTATTATAAACTTGTTTATTTTTTATTAAACTTCACTTGAAATCACCATTCTCTTTATGATAACGCAATCAGTTACTCTTAACAATGAATGTCGTAACTGATGGTAAGTGAAAAATGACCAGCAAAGACCAATGGCCACAAAAGCAAAAATGATCATGTTTTTCACAGAACATTTTCTAAAATAATGAAGAAATGAAAATAGTAGCAATAATATTCTAAGAAGATCATATTTCAAAGTTGTCTATGATGCCCTAGTTGCTCTTTTTTTAAGCAGAACATTAAAAATTCAAAGCTCTGCATTTAAGAATAGGCAGACATCTAAGGATTATTTCTAGGTAGTGCCTCTACATAACAGAAAGAACAGGAAGTGAAGGAAGAGGCAGCCTTCCCAATAATTAGTGATATTTTTCTTTTTACTAAAATCTCCAAGAGAACTGATACTATTGCTTCTGGGTGAAAAGTATGTAGCTTTGAAAAATCACTGACAAGTTAGTTGACTAGTTAATTTGTTATACCTGCAGTCACAAACTGTAAAATAATGAGATGCAAGATACATGAACAATACAGATGAACTGTCACAAACTAGTTTTGAACACAGGTGGATCTACAAACATTTACTCAAAGTACTCTCTTCAAAGTTCTCTTCTAGTTATATATAGTTTTAATAATATTGTGAGCCATTGCCATTTAATAATATTGTGAGCCATTGCCATTAAGTACTTTTCTACAATATTCCTGAGTATTTCTGACCAACTCTTCTGTTAATAAGGGACATTCTGATGCAAATGTGTTAGAATTGAAAAGACCTCACTTTTACTAGTTCGCCTGGTTTGATCTTCCTAGTGTAAAAATTCTTTGGCATCCCTGCTAATGGCTTAATTAAATACAGTACATCAACAACACTGGAAGAAACTCTGCTACCCCCAGCGGATGTCCAACACCCCAGAACAACACAGTTCTATGTCTATAATTTCTATAATTATTGCTAACATGTTTGTAAAGACCAAACTGCACATTCACCAATTACTTACTCTATGCTTGTGGTTTATCTCAAGAATCACTGTAGGAAACTGCAAATGTTTATTACAAGGCAAACAACAAAGTGTCCAGATAATCAGAGTAGATTAAAACCACTATGTAATGAGAATGAAAATCTGAAAGCTGTACCTGAATTTCAGATTTATATGTAGTCTAAATGTAGTTAAACAAGATGCATGACCAACAAAAAGCGTAAAACATATCTGTTGCTAAAAATGAGCACTTCCAGTAAGCTCCAGTTTCACATTCCAGACATTAAGCATAGACAATTTAATTTATAGCAACTTCATCTGTCCCCTCTACTCCCTGCATTCACAACCCCCCAAAAAGAACCTGCAAACTGATTTATGTTTGAATTTCTATGCTACAGAGATTCCAGTATGTACTGTGGCAACTGGATTTTTGTTAACTGTATCCAAGTAGAGAACACGAATTTTTTCAAGTCTCAAATCAGAAAAACATGGCATAGAATTTGATTTCAAACACACAATCTCTAATCCAACCATTTCTCTCACAGAAAAATCCCACAGAGGGTGCTGTGCTCAACTCTTTCAGAGCTGGCCAATGTAAAAACCACCCCAAATACCAAATCACAAAAGTAATTTATTAAACCTCCATTTGAGCCTCCTCCTCCACCCATCCTCTGTGGCTTTGATCATTCATGGTGGTCATTAAGAGAATAACAAGTCTGTTAGAGCTTGTTAAGATGAAAAATGAGGATTAAACAAAAAAAAAAAGTAAAAACAACATTTCCCAAACATTTCTCTTTACCTTGGCACTACAGACTGCTACATTAGCAGGGAGCTGGGAAAACTGCTTCAACTCAAATACATCTCGTACAGCCCACCGGCTCAAGTGATTCTCAGCCTTGCTAGATCCAACTACATTCTGATTTGAATGAATATATGCCACTTCTGGAACACCATCTAATATCAGGAGAAAGATACAATCAAAGATGTGGCTATTCCAAAACTCTGAAGGTATACAGTTGCACTGAAGGATACTGGAATTAAAAAAACCCAACTCCCTGCCCCCCCCCCCCCCCCCCCAAACAAACCAACCACACAAAAAAAAACAAAGTTGTGAAATTTGCTATGATTTTACCCAGCAACAAGTTTCTCAGCTCTATGAGATCAACAACAATCATTAGACTTATTCAGATTTATTTAGATAGTTTAATATTGATTTCAATGTGGGTTTTTTTTTCCAGATGGACAAAGAAGTTTCAGAGCATCTATGCTTTAATGTCTGCAATATTAATAAAGTTCTCTAACAGAACCAAATCTTCTATATGGTATTTCAAATTCCCAGATCACTTTTTTTTAAATCTACTTTTTATGAACAGCTCTGTCAAGACTTTTAAGGGTTTACATTTCAAGTATCTAGATATGTGAATTCTTAATATATCTTCAACCAGAGCATCTTTCAACAGACTGCTTTTAACAAAGTATTACAAAACTTCTCCATACCTGGGAACACAGGAAAGTAAAGCTAGCAGTTAAAAAGTGACACAGAAAGATATCACTAAATAATTTAGCAGAGTACTTACTAATATCTTGTAACAAAAACACGTATATCAGGAAGAACTTTAAACCTGCCAACAATGTTAAATTAAGTATATGTTACTACTTTAGTAACATATGTTACTACTTTAGTAGAAATAAAAAACTAAAAGTTACCTAAATATCTGTCCATTGATTCCACTTTCTGCTCCTGATGTTCAAATGCAGTTTTACTTGCAGAAGTTCTACACATAGTGTAACTGCCAGTCTTCATTTGTGCAACAGAGGTATCTTGAACAGGATAGAGTATTTTAGACCCAAACCAAACTCTGCCTCTCTGTTTTTTACACTTATAGCTTTGCTTTCTGGCATGTGTTTTCTCAACTGGCAAGTTATCTTCAGAGGATGAAAATTCATCTATATTCTGAGAATCGCTTTCCTTTTCTTTTCTATTGGGCTTCTTTGCTTGTAGCTGAGGTTTTGAGACATTACCTTGTCCATTGCTATAGGTATTTTCTTTCCATTTTGGAAAGCTGAAAGTTCTTGACTTTCTTGATTTAGAATTATGGGAAATCTCAATATCATCGGACTCATCACTTATGTCACTTGCTCCTTTCAATTCTCTTGTGAGGTTCTTGATGTCCTCAAAAGACGCAGTTTTGCTGAAATTTGACTCACTATTATGGAGTCCAAATTGCCTACTGTCTTCCTTAAATACAAACCCATCTTCTTCTTTTGCTAACTCTTCACAATTTTCAGATGTTGATCTGCATAATTCAACTTTCTTAGTAAGCAGTGGTTGCTGCCACGCTGAAACTTGGGTAGGAAAGATGACATCATCATCACCTTCAGAACTGTTTTCAGTATTCATGACTGTATCACTGTGCTTTGAAATGCCTTGATCATCACTTTCTATGTCCCCTTCCTCCTCAGAGCCTGTTAAAACAAGCCAGTCTATACTACACAAATTTTGTTTATCAGTTCTATCTGGTGAGTGATCAGTGTTCCCATGCTCCAAAACAGACACATGGCTCTGACATTCCTGAGAATCAGTGTGTTTGCTATTTACATTTGCTCTTAAAGTCTGATCATCAGAACTGGAATGATGAGAGTTGTAATTATTATCCTCTTCTTTGGTAGCTTCAGCTTCTCTCTGCAACAACTTAGAGAATCCACACTGCATTAAGGAAAGCTGCCCCTTGGTTTCCACTGAATTATTTGCATTGCAAGGCTTCCTTCTGTGGCATTTTTTCATGGAAGTTTCCAGAATATCATCATCACTAAAGTCATCAGAAAAGTCTATTTCTTCTCTTATTAATTGTGCCTGAATGCTTTGGGAATCTCTATCTTCTCTACAATCTGGCTGTTCATACTGAAAAGAAATCACAGCAAAAGTATTTTTAAAAATGTAAATAACATATGTAACACACCTAATTCCAAAGCAGTGTAAAAAAAAAGTGGGTTCTCACTATGTTAATCAAAAAAATGTAGGAAACAGATTACACAATGTCATGGTTTAAACCCAGCCAGTTTATACTAATCTTGTTGCCACATTTCATCTTCCAAAGGTGGTTTGAAAAATGACTTCATGATTCAAACCTAAATACTGTGTAATGACACAAGCGTAAGAGACAGTGACTGATTTTTAGTACCATGGCGTGTGATCTAATATAACAATATTTTCATGCTTACAATGTCATATAATAGATCAAACTGTTCCTCTCCCAAAACACATGAACAGTGTACAGTCAAAAAACATTCACAAAAATGACCCAAGCTTTTCAGGGGAAAAAAAACCCAAAACGTTGTTCTACAAAGAAACTGTCAGAAACAGCATTTGGGGGGGGGGGAAGTTAAAAAAAAAACACCAAAAAAGAACCCCAAAACAAACAAGAAACCCCATCCCAAAGAAAACCAAAACAGAGGTCCACAAAACCTGAAGAAATTTTTCAATCCTTGAAACTAACTGTACTCCTTTCCAAAATCTCCTAAATCTTCTAAACAGTAGGTGTCAGATTCTCAACTGACTTCTTGGCCAGAAAGCTGTTATGTCATACTGTATTATAAGGCTTAAGACATTACAGAGCAATACCTACAGGGGGCCTACAAGAAATCTTAAGAGGGACTTTTTTACAAGGCCATGTAGTGACAGGAAAAGGGGGGACGGCTTTAAACTGACAGATGGTAGATTTAAATTGGATATTGGGAAGAGATTCTGTACTGTGCGGGTGATGAGACACTGGAACAGGTTGCCCAGAGAGGCTGTGGCTGCCACATCCCTGGAATTGTTCAAGGCCAGGTCAGATGGGGCTTGCAGCAAGCTGGTCTAGTGGAAAGTGTCTCCTGTCAAGTACAGGGGGGTTGGAACTAGATGATCTTTAAGGTCGGAGAGCATAAAGAAGGACTACACAGCTCTGAGAGAAATGGTTGGGGTCTCTGGAGCTCAGATCGTCTTTTCGTCAATTCTTCAGGATACAGGGGAGGACCTTGAAAAGGCTCGGAGGATTGGCCAGGTTAATAAATGGTTAGAACAGTGGTGCCATAGTCAGGGGTTTGGGCATCTACAACATGGGAATCAATTTAGTAGGCCAGGTCTACTGGGGGCTGGTGGAGCTGGTCTAAAGGGGAAGAGTGGTTTTGGTAGGAGGATTGCCAGACAGGTCAAGGATGCTTGAAACTAGGTGTGTTGGAGGAGGGGGGCATCATTCCATCCCAACACACCCAGTCAGTTGCCAGCACCTATAATAAATGCTTGGATCAATGCAGAGATATTCCAGCCGCTCCAGCCAATGAGCCGGCGTCATTTGGAGCTCAGCTCAGATGCCTCTATACAAATGCCCGTAGCATGGGGAACAAATGAGGAATTCGAGATGTGTGTAGGTCTACGAGGGTATGATATAATAGGCATCACAGAAACATGGTGGGATGGCTCCTATGACTGGAGTGTTGGAATGGAAGGTTACAGGCTCTTTAGAATAGACAGGCCCAGCAGGCAGGGAGGGGGAGTTGCTGTTCATGTTAGGGATAGGCTGGAGAGTATGGAACTCTGTCTGGGGACAGGTGAGCAGTTAACAGAGAGTTTGTGGGTCAGGTTTAAAGGGAATGTAGCTATGGGAGACATTACTGTCGGGATCTGTTACAGACCACCTGATCAAGAGGACTCTGTGGATGAAGCGCTCTATAAACAGACAGGAACAGCCTCATGCTCACAGACCCTTCTTCTCATGGGGGACTTCAACCACCCTGACATCTGTTGGAGGGATGGTATGTCCCGGCACAAGCAATCCAGGAGGTTCCTTGATTGTGTGGAAGACAACTTCCTTCTGCAAGTAACAGAGGAGCAGACAAGGAGAGGTGCCATGCTTGACCTCGTGCTCACCAACAGGGAAGGGCTCGTTGGAAATGTCACTCTCCAGGGCAGCCTCTGTTGCAGTGATCATGAGATGGTTGAATTTGAGATCCTCAGGACAGTGAGAAGAGCGTGCAGCAAGCTCACTGCCCTGGGCTTCAAGAGAGCAGACTTTGGCCTCTTCAGGAACCTGCTTAGTCAGGTTCCATGGGATATAGCCCTAGAGGGCAGGGGGGGCCAAGAATACTTGCTGATACTCAAGGATCACCTGCTACAAGCTCAGGAGTGTGGTGCCCTGACTAGAAGGAAGTGCAGCAGGAGGGCCAGGAGACCTCCTTGGATGGATAACGAGCTCCTGAGGAAACTTTAAATGAAAAAAGAGGCTTATAAAAGGAGGAAGCAAGGACAGGAGGCCTGGGAAGCATACAGGGATGTTCTTTGGGAATCTAGGGACCAGGTTAGGAAAGCTAAGGCCCAGTTAAAATTAAACTTGGCTAGGGATGTGAAAGATAATAGGAGGGGATTCTATAGGTACGCAGCAAATAAAAGACAGACTAGGGACAATGTGGGCCCTCTGCAGAAGCTATCAGGAGAACTGGCTACCCTGGATTTGGAGAAGCCTGAAGTTCTTAACGACTTCTTCAGCTCAGTCTTCACTGGCAAATGCTCTGACCACACCACTCAAGTCTTGGAAGGCAGACATAGGGACTGTGAGAATGAAGACCTTGGGCCCACTGTAGGAGAGGATCTGTGGATCGAAACCATCTTAAGAACCTGAACACACACAAGTCTATGGGACCTGACAAAATCCATCAGCGGGTCCTGAAGGAGCTGGCGAATGAAATTCCTAACCATCATATTTGAAAAATCATGGCAGTCAGGTGACGAGTGGAGAAAGGGAAATATAACCCCCATTTTCAAGAAGGGGAAAATGGATGACCCGGGGAATTACAGACCAGTCAGTCTCACCTCTGCGCCTGGCAAAATCTTGGAGCAGATTCTCCTGGAAGGCATGCTAAGGCACATGAAAATCAACAAGGTGCTTGGTGACAGCCAGCATGGCTTCACTAAGGGGAAATCCTGCCTGACCAATTCGGTGGCCTTCTATGATGGGGCTACAGAACTGACGGACAGGGGTAGAGCAGTTGATGTCATCTATCTGGGCTTGTGTAAAGCATTCGACACTGTCCCACATGACATCCTTGTCTCTAAACTGGAGAGACATCAATTTGATGGATGGACCACTCGGTGGATAAAGAACTGGCTGGATGGCCGCACGCAAAGAGTTCTGGTCAATGGCTCAATGTCCAGCTGGAGACCAGTAACGAGTGGCATCCCTCAGGGACTGGTGTTTTGGGACCGGTCTTGATCAACATCTTTGTCGCTGACATGGACAGCGGGATTAAGTGCGCCCTCAGCAAGCTGTGTGGTTCGGCTGATACACTGGAGGGAAGGAATGCCATCCAGAGGGACCCTGACACGCTTGTGTGGTGGGCTGTTGCCAGCCTTATGAAGTTTGACCATGCCAAGTGCAAGGTCCTACACCTGGGTCGGAGCAATCCCAAGCACAGCTACAGTTTGGGCAGAGAAGAGATTCAGAGCATCCCTGCAGAGAAGTACTTGGGGGTGTTGGTTGATGAGAAAATGAACATGAGCCAGCTTCAGTGTGTGCTCGCAGCCCAGAAAGCCAACTGTATCCTGGCCTGCATCAAAAGGAGCGTGAGCAGCAGGTCGAAGGAGGTGATCCTGCCCTTCTACTCTGCTCTCGTGAGACCTCACTTGGAGTATTGCATACAGTTCTGGTGTCCTCAACATAAAAAGGACATGGAACTGTTGGAACAAGTCCAGAGGAGAGCCATGAAGATGACCAGAGGACTGGAGCACCTCCCATATGAAGACAGGCTGAGAAAGTTGGGGCTGTTCAGCCTGGAGAAGGCTGCATGGAGAACTCATAGCAGCCTTCCAGTATCTGAAGGGGGACTATAGGGATGCTGGGGAGGGACTCTATTAGGGACTGTAGTGATAGGACAAAGGGCAATGGGTTCAAACTCAAACAGAGGAAGTTTGGGTTGTACATAAGGAAGAAGTTCTTTACTGTTAGGGTGTTGAGGCACTGGAATGGGTTGCTCAAGCAAGCTGTGAATTCTGCATCCCTGGCGGTGTTCAAGGCCAGGCTGGACAGAGGCTTGGGTGACATGGTTTAGTGTGAGGTGTTCCTGCCCATGACAGAGGGGGGGGAACTAGATAACCTTAAGGTCCTTTCAAACCCTAACTATTCTATGATTCTAAGGTCCCTTTCAACACAATCCATTTTATGACTCTGTTTCAGTAAACAATATTGTTCTGTAATAACAGCATATTAGTAAAAACTTCAGACTGAGGATATGATATCCAAGTGTTGTAAAAGTCATAGAATATCATATTATGCGATATTCAGAATATTCCACTTTAAATACAGAATGAGAGCATGATATTACCCAATACTTTACAATACATGAAACCAGGGGCAAGCAAGCAATAAAAGACAGCAAATTCAATCTAAGGTAAAAGTATTATCAGTCTAATTACATACTGTCTATAATTGCCACTACAGTGTCAGGAACCAGAGGGACTACCATGCTGCGGTTCATAGTCCTCACCTTTTCTGAGCTGCATGGAGAAGTCTCTTCCTTTAGCCACATAGTTGCTGTTATGACTCCTGCTTCTACCCGTCCTTCCCTCTAGAAGAGTTAAGAATGTTTGCAATAAAATTTTTTATCTGTTCAAGTTAACGAAGGCAGGCCCAGTTTTAATTTCTTTTTACAGAGGTCTAAGCACCAGAAACACAATCAGCAAAGACCAGGCTTGCATTTTGGCAATACACTTACTGCTCTTTGATCTAATGCGTATCCTGCAGTAAAAGCAACATACTGCATAAATTTGGAGCATTTGATTTACATACTATTTTAATAATTTTAAACTTTTTTCCTAAAGCAGAATACCTGCTTCAATGCTGAAATTACATGCCATGTTTTAATTTAATTTAGAGAAGTTTTGAGCTTAATATCCCCAAGGTTACTCTTGGGTATGCTAACTTTGTGTTACTGTATTACTTTCCCAAGCCTCCTCCTAGCAAAGGCAAAATAACACAACAGAGGGAAACAAACCTAGAATAAAGCTGCAATAAACTCCAAGATGCAATTTAGCTGCAACAAACATACTGGATACTGCATATACTTAAAATCAGTTTGCACTATACACTGTGAAATTGGACCAAAAAGACTTCTTTTTTAGAATAACTAAGAAATTAAAGCATAAAGCCTCAGTTATTTACTTCTATCCTGTAACGTTTTTAAATACAGCATTCTAAAATACATGTTATTAGATAGCTTTTGACACCTCAAAATGTACTATATAAAGGTTACTGTGATCTTAAAAAAGTATTCCTATAATCAGAATTCTGGCTTATATGGTCACTGATCTACTGATGAATAAAAGGTACCTGTACACAGTGTTAACTATATGTGAAAGTATTATAACAATAACTTATGGCATTTTTACTAGGAAAAGAAAAATATTGGCAAACTTTAGAAAACTATAATCAGAACTTTATCCAGTTTTTTTGTTTGATTTAAGGAAATTTAGCTGGTCTACATCAGAGTCAGGAATTAGCATGCCTGTTTCATTTAATGCACTCCTAGACAGGTACTTTTTTAAATTTTACCATTCAGCTTCATAAAGTGTTTCCATTTAAAATTGTAACAAAATAACTCATGAGGAAAGCAAAAATATAAAACTAATAAACAGAATTAAAAGGGTAAGACTTCACACCTCCAGGATGTCTTTGGTAAGACAGGACCCATGAGTCCTAAGTTTGAAAAGGTTATGGATTCCAAAAAGCTCTCCTTGATGTTCCTTTGATCCTTGCACTGCCTCAAAATACCGCTTGGCATTTTCACTTCCAACCACCGCACAGTGAAGTTGCTAAAACAGAACAACACAAAAGATTTCAGAAGTGTTTGCTCCAACTACGCATCAGAATTTCCCAGCATCCACATTATATACACAACTTTAGTTGGAGCAGCCAAAAATTCCTAAGGGAGGATATTTTATTTTGATTTTCCTGGCAGATGCCGGTATAATAGATTGTGTTACAATATGAACCTGCTTGGTTTTACTGAATAAAAAAAAAAAAAGAATATTTCAAGTCTTTTACTTCATTGTTGTCTGATATCAGACATCTGCCGTATACACTACTGACACTTCTCTGTACCTTGACTTCTCATCTTTCATCAGTACTGAATTTTTACTAACTTTTCCACAGTCCTTTGCATTGTATGCTTACTTGGTAAGGACTAAATAAGGCCACAAGATTACTCCAAATAATCTCTGAATATTTTAATTATCATGCACGCTAAGTACACTGAACAGAAGTGACTTAAAAAGCTAGGTAAAAAGGAAAAATGAGTAAATGGTTTGTCAGGCAGAACTAAAACATTTTTGCAGTCAGGCAGGTTTCATTGACCGTAAATTTTCAATACTCGGATAACTGGTCTATTTGATTTTAAACTGAACATCAAAACCATGGTTTTATGGATACAAGACTTGTAATATTTTTTGTGACAGCCTCTAAGTAGTTGGTAGTTCTTCAGTTCTCCTCCTAGTTCTAGCACTGAACCGGCATTTTCCTGGGCAGCACATCCCTGGAATTATACAGGCCAGTAACTGTACAGTCAAATTCTAGTTTAACTTTAGCCAAGCATAGTTTACATCTTTCTTGAATTACTCATATTATTTACAAAAGTATACTTTAGGATACATATATAACTTACCTGGGTTTCTATTACGTTAGATTTCAATTTTATTTACATCAGATTATTCAATCACAAATGACTAAATCAGACAATCAAACACCACAAATTAAAAAAGAATTTAGCAATTTTAAAGTCAAATAGGTCCCTTGGTAAGAATACATTACAAACATGAGAAAGTGTTTTCACATAACTTGATTTCTGAAAAGCACAGATGACAACATTTAGCTCCCTGAGAGCGCATTTGTATAGTTCACCAAAAGCCATGTGCCCACAAGTACTCTTGGTTTCTGAACTTTCAATAGCATAAAAACGCATTTGCTTCAAAACAGACTGAAAATTTCCTGGGTTTGCGTCAATATCAGGCAATGCAATTCAAGTGTAGACTAAAAAAATTAAAATTCAAGATTTATTCTGTTTATTGCTTCCTATTCAACTTGAAAACCACAAGTCAACTTGGGGCAAGAAAAGACAAAAATGCCCCCACAAAAACAAACCGACCACATGAGACTTTCAACAAGTTTTATAGATGCCTTTTGGAAGGCTAAACAGACAATGTCCAGGTCTTCTTTATCTACAGGATCACCAACTGCAAAGACCTCTGTGAAGCATGACACTCCTCCAGGATTTTAGTGAATAGAGCTGGTGGTAAATTGCTATTGCTTATTTTGTTAGCCTGAGATCTCACCTACTGACATCTGCTGTTGAAGTGAATCCTCCTACGTACTTTACATGACAAAGTTTGAAACAGGATGCTCTCTAAGCTTTTCCATTAATGTGGGTATAAAGAATAAATCAACTATTTTTTTCGGCAATGAACACTCCTTTAGACCTTGCTAAAGTAACGTCCATAGAGCAGTGCAATTCCTGCTCCTGATGCGTTTGAAAACTAAATTACTACTCTAGAATCATAGAATACCCAGTTGCGAGGGACCTCAAAGAACACCTTGGCAAAAGCAAGGTCTAGCAAGATGTCCCAGCACCCTGACCAGCCATATCATAAATGCATCCAATGTTGCTTCCCTGGGGAGATTATTCAAATGGATGATTGTTCTCACTGTGAAAAATTCTCCCCTTGTGTCCAATTAGAATCGCCTTGGGAGTAACAGGTACCCACTACCCCTTGTCTTTTCCGCATGGCTTCTTGTAAAAAGGGGGTCTCCATCTTCTTTGTAGCCATCCTTTAAACACTGCAACATGGTGATAAAGTCTCCCCTAAGCCTTCTTTTCTCAAGGCTGAACAAGCCCAGCTCTCTCAGCCTTTCCTCACACAGCATGCTTCCCACTCCTCTGATAATCCTCGTAGCCCTTCTCTGGACCCATTCCAGTCTGTCCATGCCATTTTTGTAAGGCACAAATCAAAACCAAACACAGTATTGCAGGTGTGACATGACAAGCAAGGAGAAGAGTAGGATAATGACTTCTTTATCTATGCTGGCAATGTCCCTGTTGATGGAACCCGGCATCTTGTCAGCTTTCCTTGCTGCAGCTGTACACTGTTCACTCATACTAAGCTTGTTGTCCAACAGGACCCCTAGTCTCTTTCCAGAGCTGTTCCACAATTGGGTAGATCCCAGCCTGTGCTGCACTCTTGGACTGCGTTTAGCCAGGTGCAAGCCTTTCCACTTTTCCTTGCTGAACTTCATATGGTTCTTGTTTGCTCACTCTTCCAGTCCATGTCCTCCTGCAGACCAGCTCCTCCTTCCAAAGTGTCCATTTCCTGACTCAGTTTGGTATCATCAGCAAAGTTAATAAGGGTACACTTCATCCCATCTTCCAGATCACTTATGAAGGTACTAAGCAGTCTTGGGACCAACACTGAGCCCTGTGGGACCCAACTAGTGACAGGTCACCATTTTCAAGACTAGCTATTAACCAAGTTATTATGCTGATCTCATTAGGAAACAGTTGCTAGATTCTGTGCTCCTCAAACTTCTGGTTTTCCCAGTCTTAGGTGTCTAAACTTATCAATGTAACTAGCAAAACTTAAAAAGAGCAAGTGTTCCAGGTTCAGTATTGTGGCAAGCTCTGTAATAGCAGAACTACAAGCCGGTTTTCCTTTCTTTTACAAGCAAGTTTTTAAAGGCAGGAGAGCAGCAATGCCTTCTTGCTTTTCTTCCATAGCACCAGTAAGATTTTTGCTTGTCTTTCTCCAACCCTTCATTTGAGGGTTGGACAAAATCAGACTCCAACCAAATCAGACTGATGCAGAGTCTAACTACAACTCTCAAGGATATATTTTACAAGTCTTGAAGTTTTCGGTATAACTTGATAAATGTATATTGTATAATTAATCAGTCCAAAGTTACAGAAAAACTCAAATACAAATAAAATTGTTTTATTCTTTAACAATTACTTAAAGTTGTGTCTTTGCTTAATCAGTTAAGGTAATAGCATATATCATGAAACCGAGGTAAACTACAATTTTGCTATAGGCTAACTTTGCTTTCAGTCACAAACTGCTTCAAAGATATCCCAATTTCAATAGTTTCTGAACTTTACCTGTTTATAAACTTGTCGCAAGTACATCATCTCCTCCACAGTTCCCAAGGATATCAATCTGAACACTTTAACAGGTTTGTATTGGCCAATCCTGTAAGCTCTGCAGGGAAAACAACATATTAAAAAACATTTTTATCTGTTAAAAAGAGAAAGCACTCTTACGAGTAGTAAAATAAATAAGTAAATAAAAATTCCAATAAAACTCTAGTACTCTAAAGCATTTATGAGTTGGTTGTGTTTTTTGCTAGTTTTTGTTAGGTTTATTTGGATTTTTTGTTTGGTTGGGTTTTTTACTTTTCCAAATTTTCCTCAGTATTTAATTCCCTTTACCCTTAGTTTTCAATATTTCTTCCAAGGTTTATCCAGTTGAAAAGTCTTTCTCCTAAGTTTGTATCACAAGGCCTGTCTCCCACCTCTCTTGAAAACATATCTTCCAATATGTTTTCTCAGTTGTGTTTTTTCACCACCCCATCCCGTGTTCCATCTGCTCTTGCATAAGGTATTCTCTTATTTGCATTATATAGGAGTTAGATCACAGGATTACTTGGGGCAGTCTGTTCTTTCTTAACTTTATAGATTACTTTGCAAGTCACAACATCACAAAACAGCTAATAAACAGGCAATGTTCTATCTAAATGGTAAATTCTGAGACTTCTAATAGATTATATTCCAAAAATTCAACAGAGGCTGATCCAATTTATAGAAATGTGATCTTACAAAGATTCTTTAAAAGCAGACCCTTTCAACAACACACATTGCTGAAACTGGTATTTCTCTTAGAAGCCAGAAAGACTCTTAAAATGGAATTCCGTAACTGGAAGGGACAACAGAAACAAGTTTATTTCTGCTCATGAAAATACACATGTATCTACTGAATTTACAAGGCTTCCAGTATTTTTTACCTCAGCTATTCAAAAGTCTACCCTGAATTCCTAGGCAAGCATCTTACGGTCAAAAAGCCCTAAAAGAAAAATCCAGATTCCTGGAAACACTCCAATGGCATAATATCAGAGATGGGAGCGAGTGCTGAAGAGACACTAATCTCCACAAGTGTGCAGCAGAAAAGAGAATAAATTTTTTTTCAAGGATTCTGGAATTCAAAACATCACTTGAATGAGGGTCAACTACAATGCATTTTGTCTTGACAAACAGGAGAAATGCCATCCAGCTACACAGACACACACATTCTAGAGATCATGAAAAGTTACAGGAGCTACGGTTTGTTGTCTGCTTGGGTTTTGGTTTGGTTTTGTTTTTTTTCTGGTGGGGCGGGGGGGAAGGTGTGGTGTTGGTGTTGTGTTTTGGTTTGTTTGTTTGGGGTTTTTTATGACCCTACATAACAGTGCCACAAAAATAAAATGTAAAATAAGAAATAAATTTCAGGGTTTAAAATATCAACACTAAAAAAAAAAAACTTAGCTAGACATCTCTTACTATCTCATGGACAAGCAAGGCTATATGAAAAATTTCTTCCCCGAGGAAAATTCTAGTTGAACAAAGCTAAAGAAGAATACAACCTGGATTGAGTTCTGTATATTGAAAATATACCTGTCAATAGCTTGAAGATCGTTTGCTGGGTTCCATGTAGGATCAAACAGTATAACAACATTGGCACCAACAAAATTAAGACCCAGTCCACCAGCCCTAAAAATATAAAAAAGAAAAAATAGGACTATTTGACAGTAAGAAAAACAGAACTCCCTCTCCCCCACCCCACCCCATGTATTAATTTCACATTGACGTACCTTTCCCCTACATAAAAAAGACCACAATAGAGATACTGAAAATAGTGGGGTATAGCTTTGTGTTACTATTGTGTTAATAACCACTAAGTACTCAAATAACCACTGCTGTAAAATGCAGTCTTCTCTCTTAAGAAGTAGATTACAAACTGTATGACTAGCTGTGATAACCAACTGCTATCACTTTACTACAGTAGAAGCCCTGACTGTTACTTCATACCCACTAAGCCCTACACAGGTCTACTCCACCAACGATTTTACGTTGGCCAGTTAACATTACAGAAGAAGGAAAACTATAGCTTAAATAAGAGTCTGCATTAAACTTTACTTCCTCTAATCCCAGTACATAGTTTCACAGTAATGCTATGCAGTTTCTACTAAAACGGTCATAGTCTAGGGCATGTCATATCTTTAAGAATTAACAATGGTCAGTTACTTGGACCTTGGCATATGCATAGCTGAATGTTTTATTTTGGAGGAATAAAAGTAAGGAAAACACCACTTTTCATTCAGCAACAAATCAGGCAAATAACAATTCTTTTCAACTGGTTCAACCAACACTCCTACAGGAAGAGACAAGATACTACACAAGCATGTACTAAATACTATTATTAATTTAACTATTAAAATAATTCTTCACATTGACATAGGCAGCACTAATTTTTAAGGGTGTTTTTTTCTGAGTGAAGTACTGCAAAATTGAAAATGTCAATCCCATTTAATTTATCAAGCACCTAGTTTTGGAAGATTGTATTTTGCACAGGGAAAGTTAAAATTTTCAGGTATAAGAATGAATGGAGACAGAAACTAAAAGCTTATGGAACTCCACCAGTTTTTGGTCTACATGGAATTCCTGTCAACATAAATACAGTTGCGGCCTCTTCCTTCCAGGTGTGGTGTGGTGTTGGGTTAGTTAAATCTGGAAAAAGAGAGGAAGTGGGAACCTGCCAATATTAACGGAGGTTTCCGGTGGATAAGCATTCTCAAAGTCTGAAATGCTGAATAAAAATCTTTGTACTTTTCAGAATACCTTACTGTATGTTGGAATTTTGGTGTATTTCTTTTTTAGTGAAGACAGAATTCAGTCTCTCATCTTACCAAACCAGCCCTGCAGTCAAAGTGAAATATAAGTCAACATGTTTCTCCAATGCTTTTTAATAAAAAAATTGCAATATTTGGAACTGCAGTATGAATTATACCTCAGTGCAAAGCCTTAGCACAAGTAAATCAGACTGCCTATAAAAATTAACTGAATAGGCTACTTAGCTTTTTAAAGATTTTGTCTTTCGTTATTTTTAGGTATGTCACAAAAATTCAGATACTCCAAAATGGAAAAAAAAATGGCTGCTATATCCTTCATGGAGACAATGAATACAGTAATTAGTTTGTGCACACTAAATAGTATCTTCCATTTTAACTAGCTCTTAGTCACTACGGCAAGATGGTCCATGCAAATTACTGTAGTATGACTCAAATGAAGACCCCTACATGAAAGGTCCTATAACAGCTCTGTTACAAACAACAGCTTTGAAAAGATCATCTTACTTAAAACTGCACACTGTGTTAAATAAATGGCTTGGTTTTATAACCCATCACTGACAGCTTAATACCTCATTGTTCTAGAGAAAGGCTAGCATGGAAAACCCAGTGAAACACTTTGTAATTTTAACCAAGGGTCTGTCTTTAATCATAGAATGGACTGGGTTGGAAGGGACCTTAAAGATCATCCAGTTCCAACCCCCATGCCATGGGCAAGGACACCTCCCACCAGACCAGGCAGCTCAAAGCCCTGGCCGATGTGGCCTTGAACACTGCCAGGATGGGGCAGCCACAAATTCTCTGGGAAGCCTGTGCCAGTGCCTCACCACTTGCACAGTGAAGAACTTCTCCCTAATATATATTCTAAATCTACCCTGCCATTTTAAAGCCATTTCTCCTCAACTGTCACTACATGCCCTTGTAAAATATCACTCTGCAGATTTCCTGTAGGCACCTTATAGTTACCCGAAGAGTGCTCTAATGTCTCCCTTAGACTTCTCCAGAATGAAAAAACCCAGCTCTCCCAGCCTGTCTCAACAGGAGAGGAGCTCCATCCCCCAGGTTATCTTCATAGCCCTCCTCTGCACTTGCTTCAACAAGTTCACATTCTTCTTGTTATGGGGGCCCCAGAACTGAATGCAAGACTCCAAGTGGGGTCCCATGAGAGCAGAGTGGGAAAATCACCTCCCTCGACCTTCTGGTCACACTCCTTTTGATGCAGCCCAGCATACAGTTAGCTTTCTAGGCTGCAAGTGCACACTTGAGGAGCTCATGCTGAGCTTCTCATCAACCAACACTCCCAAGTCCTTCTCCTCAGTTCATAGGTGCTCTCAACTCATGGTCTATACTTAATGGTTTGATAGAATTGACAAGCTCTGTAGAAATCAATCATATTTTCTCTCAACACCCATAAAATATATTTATCCATATAGCTACATTAGTCATAGCTATCAATAAAGGTACTATGGCTACCTATGACTATGTTTAATACTACCAATAACTGCAAGACTTGAGGTCTTACTATATGGACATGCGGGATTTTTTGTTCGTGAGTTCTTTTTTTCACTTAAGGCTCCATTTCCCAGAAAACTCCCCAAGCAACTAAAATGAGGTTTTCCAAATGCCTGTGGGCTGTACCTAGCCAACTGAAGGCAGAAACAGTGCTTTAGTGGTAAAAAAAAAAAAGAATAGAAACTAGGAACACTGTAAATTTAACAGCGAAGTCACCACCCCTCTCTGCTCTGTAAGCGGAATTTACAGATTGGTGCTTCCTGATTTAAAGTCGTATGTTGACTATGCCAGTGGAATATAATGGCAGACTCAAGATCACTGCGCAGGGAATTCACCCTTTGCAGATTGCATTCTACAGCCAAAAGACTGTGTATTTTCAGCAAAAATCAACATTTGGTTCTCCAAGCAATACGACTTTCAGAACACATACAGGTTGACTACACGGAACAGTTGGCCAAAACCAGACAGAAGCGTATGACCCAATTCTGTTAATTTACTATGTGTTGAGAAATAAAGAACATACTTGTTGTGGTTTAAGACCAGCTGGTAACTCAGCACCACACAGCTGCTTACTCACCTCCTGCTTCCCCGGGTGGGATGGGGAGGAGAATCTAAAGAACGTAAACCCCACGGGTTGAGATAAGAACAGTCCGGTAACTTAATACAAATACAAATGCTACAACTACTACTGCTACTACTACTAACAATAATAATGATAAGGAAAACAACAAGGGGAGAGAATATAAAACTAAAAAGGGAAAGGGGCAAAAAAAAAAGCAATAAACACAAGTGATGCACAATACAATTGCTCACCACCTGCCAACCGATACCCAGCCCAACTCGAGCCATGAGCTGGCCTTTCGGGTGAGTCCCCCCAGTTTATATGTGCTGTGGTATGGAATACCCCTTTGGCTATTTCGGGTCTGGTGTCCTGTTTCTGCTTCCTCCCAGCTAATTGTGCCCCTCCTTATTGGCAGAGCATGAGAGACTGAAAAGACCTTAATCAGGTTAAGAGCTACTGAGCAGCAACTAAAACATACGTGTGTTATCAGGACTATTCTCAAACTGAAACCAAAACACAGCACAGTGCCAGCTACTACCAGAGGAAGAGAAAAATTAAACTGTTACAGCTGAAACCAGGACAATACTGTAAAGTCCTATTGCCTGAAATGTGAGTAAGAGGGAAAATTAATCTTTTGTAGAGTAGCACTGGGATAAATCACCGATTTCCAAATGATTATTAAATTTCCAAAGGAAATATTAAAGCTGCTTCCATTACTGCCTATCAAGCAGGAAAAAAGATCACTTTGTGTTATCTGTGATAAACTACACAAAGTATCACCCCTTATGTTTTGCTTAGTAAACATTGGTTATAGTGACTGTGATTCCATTGTTGTTCCTTCCATTTATTCAGTGAATCAAGACTCATCTCAGGTACCACCAGCAGGTATAGAAAGCTCACCGGTCTCTCTATTCACAAGCTCTCATAACGAAGAGGAGAAAGTCCTTCTCTCTTTACCTCACCTTCATTTTTAGTCCCATGTAAATTAGTGGATGAGAACTGAAAAGGTTATGATTATATATCTAAACTAGACTGACAAAAGCACCAACTATAGTCTCTTTCCTAATGCTATCGATGCAGTTACTCCCTGCAGTCTTCAGACACAAGGAACAAGAACTCATAAAGGTCTTACAGAAGTTGATGGCCAGGTTCCAGATTTGATTGAGAATACAAACAAATCAGTAAAACCATTTGAAACTAGGATTCAGAAGACTCACTTGCTTCAGATCTTAGAAATCCATTAAGCAGAGAAGAAGGGAAGGGAGGAAGCCTCCAAATATTATAGGAAGCTTTAGAGCACAGCAGTGAGTCTATGTCAACTAACAGATGAGAACAATTCACTTTCTCAGAAAAGTAATACTTCACAAGGTCATCAAGCAAAATACAGACTTATTTACTAAACATTAGGAAGGCAGAATGAAACAAATTTCAAGTTAAATTTTCTTACATTGTTGATACAAGACATATGTTAATTTCTTGAATACTGTTGAACTCTCTTACAATTCTCATTCTATCTTCTGATTTTGTATTTCCATCAAGTCTTCGGTAATCTAGCCCAGATGCCATACAGTATTGTTCCAGCACATCTAGCAACTGGGTGGGAAAAAAAGAAAGAGAAAAAAAAAAAGAAGGATGAAGTGCTTACTATTATCTTCTTAATTAACTTAATTACAGAGGACATGCTTCTGAAACAATAGGACATATTCTATTTTTAAGAGATCAAGAATTGAAAGTGAGAGCAAATCTTCATAATTTTTATATCAACACTGACTCTCTTTAGCTGCGATTCTACAGCACTCAAGGTTATCAGTATTGGTCTGCTGTGGTCTCACTCAATCCTCCAACCATGACTTTCTGTCCCACCCCTAAGGTATGCTGAATCAGTTTCTTCCAATAAACTGGAAGGCAACTTAAACAGTTTTCTACCATCTCGGCAAATTACAATGGCTTGAAATACAGTAGATGAGCACCAGGAAAAGCAGAACACTGGTATGCACAGTCAGAGTTCAGAGGAATGAAGTGAAAGAGAAAGACATGTGAACAAACACTTTGCTACTGCATCCAAATACTGAACTTGCAGTCTTTCTTGAAAAAAAAATTAAATATCGAAGACTAAGAACTGTCACTGATGCTATTATTTTTTAACACTTTTTAGTGCTATCATCACACATATTTAAGAAAATATGTATTTTAGCTTGCACCATTTCAGGAAACACATTACTCCTTAGCAAGAAACTCAAGAAGGTCTCCTAAAAGCAAAACGTGCATACACCTCTTGCTCTAGTTAAACAGTTTTAAGTTCAAACCAACTGATGAAGTTTCATGGCTGCTGATGCTCAAAAGCCAACATATCAGAAAAATTTACCTATTTTAAGCGGCAACACAAAGGTTGTGGTATCCTTCAGTTGTACTTCACTGTGACACTGCTCTAACACAAGACACACCAGCTGAACTCAGTATGAGCTATCTACACCTGAAGTAATACAACAGTTTTGAAAAGCTCTTAAGTAAGTCAGCAGTTTTTCGTTTGTTTTGCTATCACCATTTTTATCATGAACATGAGGTTTTCAACGTGGTTCTGGAGTACGTTGCACTGTCCTCATCATTATTACCCACAGCACAAAGAGAATGTAGTTGATAGCTGTCACCTCCAGGCTTTACACTTCAGAACTTGCTACTGTAGTTAACTGATAAAAATCATATGGAGCTCACCTTTGTGGAAAAGGAGAAAAGAAGAACTTTATCCTTGTTCCTTCGGAAGTGATTTAAAAGCTGCTGAAGGACCTGTAAATGAACCAGAGACTTTACCTACAGGTCATCTCACACACACTTACTTGTGTTTTCAACATTTAAATACGCTACACCATAATTAATTGTTTGCAAAGCCAGAGTCATAACAAAAAAACTCTGCTAACACAATAAAAATGCCAAGCGTACATTTCTTCAGTGATGTATTTGGAACTCCTGCTGCAAAAAGGCAATAATACCACTAACAGGTAAATTCAAAAGCTATTTGTGTCAGTGCATCGACTGCAAAAAACGTTCCTTATCTGATGTGCTAGCTCAACTTATGAATCCTTGCATTTCACAAATGCACACAGTACCCTGAAAACATGAAGGCCTGTTTAAACTTTCTGTACTACATCTGAGCTCAGAACTGGAACTTGACTTCTTAAAATAATCAGTGAGATGTATGCCCCTCCTCATTCCCGCTCTTGCCTGTTGCTCTGTTTACAGTAGGATCCAGCTTCCCAGCATCTGCACGGACCTTGAAATGCCAATAATCCGCCCACACACAAGGTTCTGCTGGTGGGGAAGCAAATAATCCAGAGCCTTGTATATAACAGTGATACTGTTATTTTCAAAGGAAGCATGTCCACATCTGGCAATGGCAGCTCCAGAGTACCATGCAGAAGCAATACACAAAGGGGAAAGAGGAATTTTCTGTACCAGGCCTGCAGCCTTCTCCCACTGGGCAATAAATATTTAAAAAATTGTATTTATTCAGTAATAAACATAACTGTTAATCAACACTGATTTCATTAAAAGCCTAACAAATCTTCCTCAACCAAATAATGATGACTGTTTATATTAATCTTACAATTCTGGACGGTATCTAGACTATAAAATATTAATTATACATCACTTACAAGCCTTTTTGTATGTGTTAGCCACACAGTTACAAGTGAAAACAAGGTAAAACGAGAGAATTTGCCTGGTTTGTACAAAAAGATATAATCCAGAATTTATTTTATTGGGGTAAGTCTGTATCAGGTAATTTAAAAGAGCTAAATGACTTATATTTGCATTTCAATTTAGCTACATTTGAATGTCAATTTACCAGTGACATTTTTTGAAAGTAGAAGGAATGTGGCTACTGTACTGTTGCTATTAAAGTACACAAATAATGAATTTTCTGTAAGAATACACACAAACAAATCCACCTGTTTTGTTTAAATAAAATGGATCAATGTCATGCCCTTTGAGATTTCAGGTATTTTGAAGAACAGCTCTGACTAAGAACGAAAAATGATGGGTTTGCACCAAAAAAGAAATAAAACCTATGTTTGTGCATCAACTCCTGAAAGTTAAATCTGAAAAAGACACACTTGATCAGACTCAAACAAAAGTAGAGTGCTCTTTTTAAGAGACCACATGAATTTAAATGAGTATCTCTTCATTATTATACACTGTGACTTGTCTGTGACGAAGTGGTACCTACCACATTTAAGAACACCTTGTCTGTATACAGATGCCCAAGTTAGCCTACAGTGTTTTTAGGCTTCAGAGCCACACCTGCCTGGGTTAAGGTTATGTTTAGCGGCAGAAGTTACTATAATTTGCAAGGTGCTCCGAAACACATACATATTTCTACTGAAATAATGATAATATGCTAGGTAAAAATAAGATAACAGCCTCTGCTCTTTTGCCACCACAGTTATGCTCATACTCTGGCACTGCAATAGCAGAATCTTCTTCCTTACCACCCAAGATCACCACACACAAGCATAGGAAAAACCTTACTGCTACCAGCCAAGGTTACACCCAACCCACACAGACACAGCCAGCTGCACCCCCAAGAAGTCCCTGCAGTCTGTGCTGTCCCAAAAGCAACTCAGACCTAAGCCATGGTGTGGAACAGATTCCTCTCAACAGGCAGATGATGGTGGGACCTCTGTCTTAACTCAGTCATTTCTGCTTGCCTGTGCTGTTTGCTACTCCGTCAAAACAGACAATCAAAATGTTGTCAGGCAGTGTTGGAGTGAAGGAGGCAAGAGCCTTAAGAGACAAATTTCTAGAGCAAGGAAAATTATTTTTAACCAATAAAAAAAGAGCCTCATAAGCACTACTGAAGATCACAGACTTCGTTTTTACAGGTATGTATTAAATATTTGCTGGTAATTTAACCATAAAGTTGCCTTCCATGAGATGACTAAGTGTTTATAACCAAGCTAATATGCAGGCCTCTCACATGGATGTAGTAACAGAAAAGAAAGATGTTGCTCACATAATAACAAATCAATAAAGTGATAACCACTACTCCTGCTACAAAAACGTGGCCCTGCCACTGCTTCCCTGAGAGTCCCAACTAGCAACTGTAATATGAAGATTTATAGAGAACAAAAATATAGCACACTCAATCCTGCATAGCTTCTCACCTCCAATTACTCTCAGGCCAGGAACGCTCCTAAACCTAGTATGGTTTTCTTTCTAATTAGCTATATTAAACGTCATTTCCAGTTATTCATCTTGTTCCCCTCTGAAACCAGAAAAAGTCACCATTTTTCAGGTAAGGAGCTTTACAGGTTTAGACTTAACACATTTTGTTCATCTTTAATGTGGCTATTACTAGCTTCATTTGATGTCTGAAGGGTTAGAAGACAAAATAAACACTCACTACATCTTTGCCAGTTCCATGCTACTCACGAAAGTGCAGGTCCTTTTCAAATTCATTCTAAGACATTTTTTCCAGGCTGAAGAGCCACATCATATTTGGTTGTTTCTGTTCCACTGTACTGATCACCTTTGTGGCTCTTTCCTGAACCCTTCTCTGAACCTTTTCAAGGTCTAACAGATGCTTTTTGAGAGAAGGCACTGGAACTACCCACAATACTGAAGGTGTGCAGAAATCATTAAGCCCATAATGATTTTGTTTTGCTCCATTTCCCAAGTATTTCTGATTGCCACTGCACCAATGGTTTCATGGAACTCTGTCATAATATGACCCCAACCCCTTGAGTATAAGGGTAATTTCTGTGCCCATCACTGAATATGTGAAGGTTACATCTTAGATTATCTCAGATCACTCCTTCGAGTCTGCCCACAGACACCCTGATCCACGACAAGAGCTACCTGTTGTCACGGTAGCACGACATATTATTCACAAACAGAATTATTAAAAACCAACAACCATTAGGTGCACATTTTCTTATAATCATCTACTATACTAGCAGACCTATTACTATTACCAACACTTCATTTTCCTCTAAAGAACATGTTTACCTTCATTTTTCCACTGTACTTTGGATCTGAAATGGTTTCAAAGGCTGCATCTTTGCTTAACTGCACAAAATCTGGAAAACTGGAAAATACTTGGCTGCACACCCGTTTGATATGTGCTTCCTGGAAAAAAAGCAGAAAGTTTGAGTAAGCACTAAAAATTACAGAACTACACTGGGAAACCAATAAGCCATACAAGGAGTCAAACAGGCTGAAACAAGTGCCCTGCTGAAGTAACTCAAGCAGAATGACTCTAGTGTTTTTATTCAGGTCTCTGCAAGAGTGCTGGATAAAACACCTCCTGTCTGTTTCAGTTTGCTTCATTTAAAAAGGACCTTAATCTGAAACCACAGATTCTAGTTACTACAGTAAGAGATGTCCAAAATTTCTTCTCCTGGAGAGAGACAGCAATAGGACTGGCCAGAATCATCAGCCTCAAGAACCCTGATGATCTGAGGTTTCCGTTACCTTACAGGTATGTATCAGTGTTTATTTCTCCTGACCCTCCTGCATACGCCAACACATGAATTACATACTGTTCCACCAATATGACAAAAATAAAAATAAAAATATGGGGAATGCATTTAAACTGTTGTCCTGGGTTCAGCAGTGGCTGAAAAGCCACTACTAGAATTTGGGTAGCTCAGATCTTGACCACACACTCTAAGTCTACCTTTCCAGAAGAACAGAAAAGGTCTTGTGACTCACCTAAGAACAGCACATGTGACAGACTTTAATCCTAAAAGTAAGAAATACTACAAAATACCAGTTTCTTCAGTAAATTTGAGAGGTTAATAATTATGTACTCCTATACTGTTATTCCTGTGGCTATTTAAACTCTCAAATGTTACTACAACAAAAACTACATCCACAGTACAAAAAAAAAACCAAACAAAAACAACCAACCAATGAAACAAACCAAAACAAAACCAATACGGGAAACATTTGGGTGTATACTGCATATAAGACTATGAATGCTAACAACACTCCCTAAAAAGCAAAACTGCTTTAATGGAACAAACTTGCCAGAATTAGCTAGGATTTTCCATTTCCATTCCTCTGTGGCTTCTGAGGTGAAGTGGCAACATCCCTTGATCCCTCTGCTCATTCTTGGATTTTAAGGCTCGCATACAATTGTTTTTAAAAACTGTGGGTCTTGTAGGTTAGCTGCCCCAGTAACAAGATAAACTGATACTGATCTCTCACTAAATATGAAGTACCACAGGAAAAAAAACAACACATTCTATTTGCTATTATTTATTTATTTGCACAAATATATTCCTTTTACTAGGCACTTGTCATAAATGGAGCAGAAATGCCAATATTATAAATGACTACAAATTACTCTCCCCTTTAAAGCTCTTCAGTGTCTATAACCCTTATTTTAAAATATGCATCAATTAAATGATATACAGAGAGCTGTTACACAACATTACAAGGGCTGCATTCTAAATTACTAAACGGAAAAGGAATTTGGCAATATATTTTAATGTCAGTTAGATAAAACTTAAAAAGGAGGCCAGCAGCAATTTCATTCAAGAGCTTTCATCCTTTTTTCCATTAGACCATCCTTTACATACTTCTGAGACTAACCTGCTGCTTGCTAGTGTTGTCTGTCTGCAGCAGTGCAGCATGATTTGCAACCTTCTGTAGAATTGTCAGGTAACTGAAGCGCAGCGACTTAATTGTTTCACCATAAGCGTTTTCCTACTCCCCATAAAAAAAACAGAAAAGAATGGTTATGCAAACAAATACTCCTGAAAATAAAAATTCATCTATAATAGCTGCTAGCTTTACAAGGTTTAATGCATTAGCGATTGTAAGTAGTACTATAATTGACCCCAAATAGATGTATACTGTATTTCTAACAAAAATTAAATGGCTTTTTTTTTCCACTCAGCTTTGTGATACTATTAACAGAAAACATCTTCTCAAAAAGAAAAACCCCACACCTATGTTCATAGTTCAATAAACACTTCAGATAGCACAGTATCTACAGAAATTACTAAAATAACCAAGAATTCCTCAATAGACAAAAAAAAAAAAGACAAACTTTACAACTGATGCAAAAGTAAACCAAACCAGAAGTGTTTGTATGAATTCTTACGTAATGACTGCTAACTTTACAGCAAAAGTGTTTAAAGTTTTATAAACATCTCAAGTAACAAACAAAATATTCTACAATGCAGCAGCAACATCAGCTATTTTTCTGGTTATGGTTGCCTGATTCAACCAATATTTGTTTTCCTTTCAAGTTACTAAATTTCATGGTTAACTTTGGAATAAGACAGTCTTTAAGAGCACTTAAGTATCCGCAGGCGTGCTTACTGCCCTTTGTGAATCAAGTTCAATAACATTTTAATTTTTCTACAAGACATCATGAGAAACAAAAGTCTGCAAAGAACTAATGCTTGTAACCATGAAATATTAAACAGGCTGGTTGGAAGACTGTTTTAAAAGAATAATGTGAAGACTGAATAAGCTACATCATTTGGAAAAAAAAAAAAAAAAAAGGCCAAACAAAAAACAACAAAGACACCCACAACATGAGGATCAAAACAGGCCAGAAGGAGAACAGGGAGATGCAAGTACAAGACATATGCTTCTAAATGCTTAAGATGTGTTTAATCCGAGTGACATGGGCAAAACAAACCCAAAGCTGGACTTGTTGAATGCTAATGAAGTCCACGGAAGACAGAAGAAATCTGCAAAGCTGCTACTACTGAACAAAGTTCTGCTTGCGCTCTATGGTTACTGTCAGAGTTCTCCTTTAAATGATGCAAAGCAAAGCACATGTTTATTGGCACAGAAAGACAATCCAACTGCAGTTGTAATGCAAAGCCCAGCAAACTGCTAGGTCCAGAATGCCTCTGGTTTGCAGTTTCTGCACAGACTGCCTGAGGCACATGGGAGCAGTATGCCCGACACATCCTGAACATGCCAATGCAATACCCACGCCAACATCAACTATATCACAGGTGGACTTAAGGCAAAGATCCAGAATTTACTGCATAAACACCTGCTTGGGGCATGCAAAACAGCTCTGCTGTGATCCCAAAGTGCCTAACACCATGATGCTCCTGATGCAGCCACCCCTGTTTCCAGTCAGGCCTTCCCAAACAGATGGCTTATGAGCATGCAATCATTTCAATCAGCATTTCATCGGCACCGAGTCTCTGGAGAAAATCAGAAAGATTACATTCTAAAATCCAAACAGTTCAAGTCCTTACTTTGTAACAACAGTTCTTTCTTTTACGACCACTGTTGCAGCTGCAGGGCTCTCCTGCTCGTAATACTAAGCTCACATCCTCTGTCTCTAGCACAGCCTGGTACACTGCTTTCTGGAATTCAGTGAGAGAACAGTACACCATCTGCCAAAGAGAAACCCCCAAAACACAATTTCATGCAGCATGTAATGAAAAGCAAAAGAGTACTGAATCAAAAAAAATACACCATAGGAGACAAAGTAGCAAACAAGATTATATTTGCTCAAGTAGTTACAGAAAATTATTCTGCCGCCAAATTAAAAAATGTGGATCTTGACATCGTAACAGCATTAAATTGTAGCCAAAAATGTATGGATACTTCTTTTATCACCTCCCAGAATTCTAGAGAGTATCAATTTCAAGCTACAAGAACCTGCTGCTAGGTTTCTATAAACCTTTCGATATGGTTCTTGTAGAGGTGGAAAAAGTAAGAGAAATAAACACGTAACTGTAATTGTGGACTTCCCTCTGCTTTGCCAGTTGCTTAATTTTCCCTTTCTTTCCTCTTTTTAGGCACTAGCTGCTGTAGGGCACTACCACAGGCAGGGCAAAGAGAATAAGGAATGAGAAGGCAAGGATCTATACAGTGCTATGGCCAAAACTCTTATCCCTCTTCTTAGAGACCATGGGTGGCATCTCCATGACATCTTTAGCCTTAGCAGCAGGAGACAGAAATCCTAAGATCATTCCTTAACCTAGGCTACCCACACAGCAGCAGCACCATGCTGAGCTATAATAATAAAGCAGTAACTTGAACATATACTCACATTAACAAGAGAATAAAAAGAATAAAACCTGCTAGATTTAGAAAAAGCAACTGACTGATGTTTGTGTTAATCTTTCCTTCCAAAGACAGCTTAGATGACATTATTATACACTAAGGATGAAGAATAAATACCAAATTTTGAAAAAAAAAACAAACAGCTGCAAACTAATGTATTTGTCTATTTAGAAGGAAAGCACAAGTATGTGCAATAAGAATTTATCAGAATTCTCAGCTATAGTCATAAAGTATTATAACTTCGTATAATGATTACAATGAACAGGATCCCAGACCTATCAACAATCAGGATTTAGGGTTTTCTTTTATTTAGTGATCAGAACTGAGGGAATTAAAAATAAAAACCTAAAAACATATAGTTCAACGCACAAGGTGTTAAACTGCAAATTCTGAAGTCCTACATAGAATTGAGAGATTTAGATACACTGTACTGGCTTTGCACAGATAAGTGCAAAAGTGCACATAAAATAGATGTATAAATCACTAGTCAGAAGTCTAGCTGAGCATTTTCATGCTTGATTAACTCCATTTCAACAAGCAATCATTGTAATTATGTGAACAAAGCACACTACTGCATGTGCATTTTTTCCAAGGCTCTGGATTATTCTTAAATTTGTAAGTCCAAGACAGAAACATAAACTACTACAGGCATGATGAAAGAGAGAAAACACAACAAAAACAAAAAAGAAGATATATATTCATTAATACTGTATTTCAAAACTGCAGGCACTCTTACTCTGTCCTCCTTTTTTGGCAACTGATCACTGATAAGTGCTTTGCTTCTTCTCAGAAACCAGCCAGACATTTTTCTTGCTAGCTCCACCATGGCCTTACGACCTGTTGCTAGCTCTCTTTTACTTGCAGTGTGCCTCTGGCCATGCTCCACTGGATCAGAAAACTTCTTCTTGAAGTGTACTCTGCTACCCAAAAGTCCTGGTACAGCCCTATAAAAAAAAACAAAAGGGTGTGGAGGGTGGCATGTGCGCAAAGGAATAACAGCATTTTCTTTACTCTAAGGCAGTCTCCCTTTTTCCATTAATTAAAAGCATACATGAATTTTTTCTGCACAACAGCAAGAGATCTTAGAAAAATAAATAAAAATTGTGTATATAGATAAAAACATATACTACTTCCAGATATGCCATTTTTTTTTATCTGCCTTCTGTGACCCTTAAACATTAAGAGATTCCCCTTAAGAAAAGAGTTGTTATCTCCAGAAAAACAAAAGCTCATCAGACTAACAGAAGTCACAAGTATACAAAACCTCTAAACTATCAGACCATTACTGTTCTGGAGCCTGAACTGGAAACTAAGCAGTCATGTTCTCATTTTTTACTGTTTTTCTTAGAATCACATTATGCAGATATTACAATTTACTAAATAAAATCTTAGGATACCCAACAGCAAAAAGGGTTTGGTAATCACTGGCAGCTTTACATATTGGAAAAATTTATTAACAATATCAGCATAGTTTTAATGGACTGGATGCAACACTAAGCTTACTGTCAAAATATTTTCTTCTCCATATTTCAATTCACTACATATATCCCTATATTTAAAGTATGTTTGCTCTGTTCCTCCTCTGTAGAGGATCTCCAGAAAGTCTCCTACGTTTCAATTTCTATCTAGGGCTCGTTTCACCCCTCCCGCTCCATTTTCCTGGAGAAAACTACTGCTTTGCAATTATGTGCACTTGTGTGTTTTGGAAAACAGTAAGATATCGTTACTTTCATCTTCTAAATAAGTCAGAATGACCTGCACATATTGGACAGAGCAAATGCACAACAGTGTTCAAACTTCTGTAATGATTCTCCATCTACCCTGTGGAGGTCAGAAGGACGGAAAAGTCTGTCCTTGGAAAAGGAAGGTAAACATGGAGGGCAGGAGGGGGATGGGTAGCATTTTAACTGCTTCCTATATTCCCCAAAGAAGCCAGATCTGAGATGCTCCAAATGTACTAAATAACAGAAAAACTCATATCAGGAGCTTACCTCTGCAGACGCAGTGGAAAAACATACTTACATACTGACAAAACACTGTTTTTTTGGGGGGAGGATTACAACTTGTTGGGTTTTCTGACACAGATGGGTCCATATCATCCATCTCCTTCCCAGCCCCACCACATGGTTAACATACAGAGATGTTTGCCCATAAAAAAAATAAAAAAATAAATAAAACTTTATTTACCAGTCCATAACACACCAAAGTTCCTTCATATTGTTCTGAAGAATGGTTCCAGTAAGACCAATGCGAACGCTGCATTTTAATGACTTCATGGTTTGAGCTATTTGAGCCTTTGGATTCTTGATTCTATGTGCTTCATCCACTATTACAGCAGACCATTCTACGCTGCAGATCAACAAAAAATACTGTGTTAACTGAAATTGCTTATCCCATCATTCCACATGAAGTCAGCCACACACTATTGCTTTTTGATTGCATTACACTACTCAGTTTCTCTATAGTCTGTTTGTTTAATAAATTCAACTGCCATAGTTGAGTATAATGGCTAAACTACATAGCCAAATAAATGAACTAATGCTAAATGTATCAAATGCTTTCTCTGAAGAAAGCAGTTTTCAGTATCTGGAGCAATCAATCCAGCATATCTCACCAGCACTAATTTCGCTCATAAGTAAGAGTTAGAAAAATTAAATCTCTGAAGATAAACTACTGAAAGATGCTTAATGCAGGTATGCTTCATTTTCCCCAATGAAAACTATCCAGTGTAACTAGAAGTAGACTGAAAGCACTTCAATCTGCATGGTGCTCTACATCACTCAACTTCTTCATTATGTGTATGATATCAATATGGCAGAGGAGTTTAAATATTTTGTGATTTTGCAACTAGGAAAAACGTATCTAGAAGCAAGAACTGAAAGGTATTTTGCAGCTGATTTCAAGCATAAAACTCAGAGGTAGAATGACCTGTATGTATCCTGTGATACTAATTTATCAAGTACGTAGGAAGAGATTTGTTAACTGTATGAGACTGCTTTATATATATATGAATGCATATTTCACGACAAAATCATATCCACTTCAATAATATTTCAGACTCCAAAAAGCTGAAACAGACATGCTTAGGAAGAAACCCCTCTCCTGAATGGGCTGCATTTAGTTCACTAATCTGAAAGCCAAACTTGTGGCATTTGTGATGCCTGTTAAATACATTCTTTCATATCTAAGTTCCTTATGTGCTAAGATCTGCTAAAAATTGGGAGTTTCTGAAGAGGGTCCAACAAACTATTATATATTAGCTCCTTCAACTTAACCTCTCACTATGTGGATGTACACGCATAACTGATCCCATGTATTCTTCTCCACAATAGTTAATTACTTAAGACCAGTTGAGACCAATCCATCATTCTAGTTAAGCAAGACACATAACCTCTCCCAGCATCAAGGTCATACGCTCATCCAGCCACATGCTCTGTAGAAACAGAGTATGGGTAAATCTGTATGCTGCAGCAACGTATTTGGAAGCTGTTGGTCAGATCTGTTCTGCATATATACCTATTTCCTGAACATAGCCAAAGGAAAGGCAAAACTCCTAGTTTGAAAATCCTGACAGCCATGAAGAAATAAAGTAGCATATCTAATACATCCACTGTCAGAAAGACCTTGATTCTACTAAGTCCATCAGGTATTTAAAACCATACACACACAAATATACATCTTTTATCTCAAGTTTCAGACTCAAGGATTTCCTGAAGCTGGTGAAAAATGCAGTAACAAGGAAAATGCACATTTTGAACATTTGCTAAAAATTCCAGATTTTTACCTTATACTAAAAGACAGAAAATATCTTCTGCATATCTTTTAGCAACCACCTGTTTTCAGACAAGCAATTCCTATGCCTTTTAGAGACACTTCATGAATGGTGTAGACTACCTTTAAGAAAACTATTCAATTAGTTAGTTTTCCTGAGCATCCCATAATAAAGATAACAGGGTAAACCCTGCAAAGACAGTTAAATGAGATTTTCCTCTTCAGCACAGTGAGTCATTGAATTTAACAGTATATATATCACACAGAAAGAATAAGTACTTGCAAAGAATAATGCAAAACAATATAGTTAAAATTCTGTGTGTAGAAAAATACATTAAAATCATTACCTGTTAAATTCATCCAAATACAGGCGAAGCACCTCATACGTTGTAAGGGCAACTTCACATTTCCCTTGCTTGATGCGACTGAAGTCATCATCTTTTTTACTGCCATGTAAGACACAGACCTTAAAGTACCCCCATGCGTCTAACTCATCCTTCCAGTTGTAAAGCACTGAAAGAGGGGCCACTATGAGGAAAGTCTGAAAATAAAGATGTTACAGTATTACTGGAAAAACTGCAACTTAGCACTTCTTCCTCAATAACAGAAAGCAAAAGCATGATATCTATTTTACTGATTTCAACACTTTGAACAACATGTCTAATTCTGTCACTTTAAAGCATATACAGAAAATACCTGAAGAATCACTACAAATTCAAAAGTAATCAGTTTACTCACAGTTTGTGAATAATACAGAAGTACTGTATGTCAATAATACAAATGTACTGTAACACTAAACAAACCCCACAAAGTAGTGTTAATTACTCAAACTACACTCTAAAAACTGCAATAAGACATACACTACCACTTTGCTTTGCTATAGCATCTATATGTTATAAAATGTTTTACAGATGGAGAAAATACAAGGATGAAGAGGGTAAGCAGCTTCCTCCAATCCACAAGTCATCATATGACTTCAAAACAGAAAGACATGAAAAGGCTTTAAAAATGTAAGACAGATCATACAACTGATTTAATATCGTGGAATAATAAAATCAGTGAGGTGGGAAGGGCTCTCAAGAAGTTTCTAGTCTTAACATTCTGGTCAAAGCAGCGGTAACACTGAATTAAGAACAAGTATTAAGTGCGCCCTCAGTTCAGGTCTTCAAATCCCCGCAGGGATGGGAGTGGTCTACAACCTCTCTCTGTAACCTCCTTCAGTACTTAATGGCCTCAAAGTGAAACTCTTTCTCTTATTACCAGTCAGGAGTGTTCCTTGTTTGTTTTTATTTGTTTGGTTGTTTTTCTTCTTTTATGTCAAGTGCTACCCCTTCACTTTTTCCTCTTTGCCTGTATGTCCTGAGAAACCCGTATCCATTCCTCAGAGAGCCATAGTCATATGAACAGCACTGCCAAATATTCCAATTTTTTCAATATGATAAAAACAGTACTCAAAACCGGAAATTCCTTAAGTCATATGCTGGGTAAAATTAAAACAATCTTCAGATTTCTCTAATTCACACAGAGCTTTTAAATGTATCTTTACTAGCTCTAATCAAATACAGGTCCTTGGATCATCAGTCTAACTCCAGAAATTATGACAGTCATTCAAGAAAACATGTGCAGTCACAAGAATATTAACAAATAAATTTTCCAAATATATACGTTCACCTTAATTATTTACATATCCTGTTAATACATGTGCATATGCTTTTTTTACTTGAGAAACACAATCCCACAAAACTGTAGTTTTCTATTCACTGACAGGGGCTTTTCAAATTACTCTAGCCACAGATGTCATACAGGTATTTCCAAACGTTTTGTGTTAGTGCTGATCAACAGTTTTACCAGATTCAACAGTAACAGTTAAACAATGCACTATGACAGTCTGGAAAACTGAAGGTTTCCCTAGCACTACTATGAAGACCATGAGCCCTTAATCTGCCAAATTAGCTGAATTTTAAAAATAAGTATGCATAAACTCCGAAAGCAAGCAAAAAAAATGAAAAAAAAAAACAAAACACAACAACTCCAAGTATTGCCTTTTACCAAAATCCTTAAGCTTGTATCACTAAAAGCTGTACCTTCTTGGGGTTACACTTGGGTTCTTTTTTCATTGTCCTCAGTAAAAAATCTGGCATATTATTTTCAATATCCTCACGTGTTCCCTTTTTGTGCAACACTGCAGCCAAAAACGAAATGACCTTGAGGAAGAAAACAATTCTCAGTGATTATGTACAAAAATGCAAGCAGAAACTGAGGGAGATCCACTGAAAAACAAACAAACAAACAAACAACCCCCCCCCCAAAAAAAAACAACAAAAACCCCAAAAAATAACCCAAAACATTTAGGACAAGATCTTGGATGGGATGTTGTAAAGTAGTTTGGATCGGAGTTGGGATTTTGTTTGGGGGGTTTTGTGTTAAATCGATCTAATTTTTAAAATAGGAACCCCTTCCCTTGGAGAATCCTGAATTCACAATAAGAGCAACTAGTTGCTCTATTTCACTCGTTCATCCACTAAGTGGAAAAGTCCCCAAAACACACAAGAGACTATGAATGAACTCAGAAAACCTAAAACTGAGGTATGCCTTGCAGTTTTCCATTTTCAGGATGATACTTGACTCAGTAGCAAAAAAGAAGGAAGAGATACTTGCTTAATATCTCTTACGGAGAAGTATATTCCCCACTATACTTCTGAAAAAGCAAGAGGTTTAAACTAGAGCTTAATTTAACAATTTTCACTAGTATGTTGCTTCCTGTATACTCCATTCCTTCCAATTCCTGTCATTAACTTCAAAACCAGCTCTTCCTGTTGTGTTTAGGCTTCACTATCTTATCTGTCCCAAAACAGTCAAGGTGATTTTCCTCTGATTATGATTAAGGCATTCATTATTATACACCACAGTAAGGACAAACATCCCCGCATAGGCTATTACAAACTTCTCCCATGACAATCCAAAACAGGAAGAAGGCACAGAGACTGGCCAGTACGCGCATTATTGATGAAATCCACTTGGGATAAAAGGTATCCATGGGGCTAAGCAGCGGCAAGGACCAGATGCATCATCAGAGGGGTTGACAAAACAGTCAAGGTGATTTTCTTTGATTATGATTAAGGCATTCATTATTATACACCACAGCAAGGACAAACATCCCCGCATAGGCTATTACAAACTTCTCCCATGACAATCCAAAACAGGAAGAAGGCACAGAGACTGGCCAGTACGTGCATTATTGATGAAATCCACTTGGGATAAAAGGTATCATGGGGCTAAGCAGGAGCAAGGACCAGATGCATCATCAGAGGGGTGCCCTTCTTTTGAAAACTCAACAGGCTGCCTTTACTCTGAGCAGTCAGCTCCAGCCCCTTCCTTTTGCAGCTGCTACACAGCTGTTCATAGCAGGGCTGCAGTAAAGCTATCAGCTGTTGATTTCCAAAAGGAAGAAATTTCAAGAGCTTTCTCCCCCTAATGGAAGGGGGAAGAAGAGAAGGTGGAGAAGAAAGAGCCAGACAGGAGTGCAGAAGTCCAGAAAAAATACCCAAGAAGAGTAAGGGTTGATGAGCAAAAGAAAGAAGAAATCCATCACATATGTGGCCACAGGGTGAGAAAGAGATACACAGGAGAAAAGAAAACCAAACATTTGCATAGATAATATTTCATATAAACTGAGGCTAAGAGGAACCGCAAGTTTTCACGTTTAATTTTTTTTCTTCAATCCTTTTGAGAGTAAGAATGAAATTCAACTGAACATAAAAGCTCCATGTGTCTTCCAGATCTTCTTTTGGAAGAATTATGCATCACAAATTTAACAATAGAAAAGACTATAAAAGGGCAACTGTGATGACAAACCTTTGGTTTGTCCAGATAGAGCACGAAGCAACCTAAAGGCCTTGCTAGGAAACTAACTTAGTGCGATCACATTAAGAAACAACATTATCCTACTTGCCTCCACCTCAACTTCATCTTGAAATTAAACAGCCATACAGTCAGGACAATTAAAGCAAAAATCAGTTCAGAAGTACAAAGAATATTAAAATGCAAAAGTTGTCTAGAACACCCTTTATGTCATAAATCACCCTATAATTCAGAAACAATAAAGCTTACGCAACTGACAAACATAAGTTTTCTGTAAGACTAAACCATTACTTGAAGTTTAACTAACACTTCTTTTTTAACTAAGTGAAATCCTCTTTTACTTCATATCCTGGACTGCCTTTCCCCTACTGAACCTGAACATAAATACTGTGTTTTATAAGTAATACACAAGATACTCTTCAAAACTTGACACTGCGAGGAAAAGAAATAACCACTAGATCTGAATTCCACACAGGAACACACTGTCACTGTGTGACAAATGTGACCAAGTCACTACAGAATCAGCTCTGAGGTACAAATACATGAGATGCAAGCAAGACAACTCATTTCCTCCTGCCCCATTTACCGTCTTATATAGATGCTTCCTGCTACATGAAATCAGATTATTTGCAATTCTGAGTAGTAACAAACTTCTGTAAGTACAGAGCTCTTAAACTGCCATGGACAAGAAACATAGTCAAGCTTAAGTAAAACACAAGGTAAATGGATGAAATTTAGTTTCAACAAACGTGTCAACAGATCAGCAGCAGCTACACAAATTTGTGAGGGACCTCTAAATGCTCTATCCAGAGAGGTTTTGCCAGTTTAATTTACTCACTCCTTTTGTCAAGCTTGCTACAGAATAATACTTCTTTGCACTGAAGGGTGTCTGCCATCATCCTAAATGGAAGGGTGAAGGACAACAGAAGCTACAGCCTGTATTTGTCAATGAAGGAATGATCTTGCATTTGACACACAGAGGGAGAAAAGAGAGAGGGACAAATACTAGCCAACACAGGATTCAAGCTGCTGGCTTAAAACAGAAAGGATTAAAGGGAATTCTCAAATGTAAAATCACCCTAATTTTAGTAAAATAAATAATTCATTTGGGCCACACTGATTCAAAGCATAATGGAAAAATCCTGTTACATTCTGTCTTTTCATCAACCAAAGTTGTATTTCCAAAAGAGTAATAAAAATAACATAGGACACTTAAGCACTTTTTCCAGAAATGGGAGTAAATGCGGCTGCTCCTATTCATTCCCAGTACAGCTGAACTATCTGTTTTCAGGAAAAAAAAGATATTGAAAGAACAGTCTGATAAGGGTTGTAAGTTCTTTTAGCATACTCCAGTGCAGACTGCTTTCATGATGCACAGGTAATCCTCCAGGTAAATTCAACATAAAATGAATACTAACATTTTAACCACTGTCATTATCCATGCTTACACCAAAAGGGGACACAACCCAGTTTTGACACTTATCAGGAGTGATCTTAAATCAGCAGCGGCTCCTGACTCTAAGTGCTGTCCTGGACAGTCGCATCCTGCCACCTCCAACTCCACAACAGCAAAGGGAGGTTAAGCTCACTGACATGGCATTCTTAAATAAGTTATTTTTAAAAAGATTAAAACCTCATAGAAAATACATTGCCAAAAAAACTTAAAGAATACCTGTATTGTCTTTCCAAGGCCCATATCATCTCCAAGAATACACCCCCTTTTATTAGCATAATGTCCATACAGAAATTGGACTCCTTCCCTTTGATAATCACGTAGGTATCTGTTAATTGTATATGGAATAAAATCACCATTGTCAGATAATTTAAAAGCAACTGCAGGAGATGGAAAATTCTGGTCAGGAAAATATGGCTTTTCCAGATCACGATCATCAAATATTAAGCTTTTCCAGGGCCCTCTTCTGTCTTTGACTCTACAAAGTTTAGTTATTAATATTTTCCTTTCTTCAGACTCTGAGAATGATACAACAGCAAATGATTTTCCATTCTTGTCCTTCTCAATAGAAGATATTGTTCCTTCATGAAGTTTCCCATCTTCAAGACAAGGGGCAAGGCACTTCTCCCCAGTATGCCAATTATCTACAAAAAAACCACAAAGACACAGAGTGATAAACTGTCCAGATGCACAAAGTATTTCATTATGTCACATTAATAAAACATTGGATATAAATTTATTTGACAAAATGCATACAACTTAAAAGAATTTATTGAAAGTAGCACTAGAATCAGGATACCTGTTATTGTTTAGAACTAAATCCTGAGGTAGACATAAAATTATAGTTTGCTGAAACACTGCTATGTTACAAATATCTGGAAGCGTATACGAAGAAAATGTGATGTAAAAGCAAAATTCTGATACATTAAGTTGTTACATAGTGGCTTCATATATGTAAATACTGATGCCTGCAGGTTTAGTGTCCAATTAAAAGACCACAGGACCTTGTTTATTAGACACTTTGGATCTACCAGAATTTACTACTGCAGTGTTAGTAAATTGTTTCATGATTATAATCACATAGCAAAACATCACCTTTCTCACAACACAGTCTGGAACAGGTAAAAACAAACAAACAAATATGCTTAGAAACAACAGAAGTGTACTTTAAGTGCACCATTTGCCTATATTGCTCATCAAAGTGGCTAATTACTCAGTGAACTAAATGCCTACAGCTGTCAAGTCTGGAACTGTTAAAATCCCCTCCTCTGAGTGGTCTCACTACAGCCTTAATACAGCACATCAAGTATTAACAACACAGATGACTGACATGCTTCATTTTCAGCTATCTCATTTTTACATTTAATGCGCAAAGACAACTTTTCTCAAACGATAATGTATGCTTCCAACAAAGAATAGGGAAGATAAGAACAGCAGTGTATCAGAATTCAAATAATTCACATTGAAAAACCCAACAAAATACCTCTATCAGAAAAAACGCCATCACTCTTCATAGTAAAAAGAGAAAGACCTTGTAAGTAACAGTTGTACAGCTTTCCAAATCTGAACTGAGGAATTCTTGTCATTCCAAATTTGTGAAGACAGTTTCCAACCTTCCCCAGCTTTGCCACCCCAAAACAAAGAAAGGGACATATAACTAATTTTAGCACTTTTATTATTTCTTATCTATTTGTTGGAATAAGCCCTGCTCCTCCTTAGAAAGTCATTATCAGTAGCAGTGAGAGGCACCTAAGCTTTTTATGGAAAGAAGAAAGTCAGACAGAATCTTACATTCAAAGCACGTATTTGTACTTCATACCTATGACCAGTGGTAGTCCACTGTTTCTGGGCTTCTCAACCCAGCTACTTTCCAGAGGGAAGAGAAAGAAAACAGGAAGTCCTGAAGACAAGAAATTCCACCTTCCCCCATTTTCCTGTGTCAGTGCAAAAAAAAATTCATGGAGAAAGACAGGTTCTTCTCACCAGTTCCTGAGCTCCTGGAAGTGTACACTTACAGGATTATTCTCCACAATGTACGAGATCAGTGATAACTACTCATTTAAAAAATTTCACTAAAGTGTATATGCTAAAGAAAACAAACCACTCTGGTCATAAGCTGACATCCACGTAATAGTAAAAATAAAAAAAAAAAAAAAGGGAAATTCTCTTCTAAAATTCTTTGGCCTTAAAGTATTCTTTAGCCACACAGACACCCTGGGCTAGGTATAGCTTGTGCATGTAGCAAACCCCAACACACTCCTCTCTTTAAAGTAGCTCCATTTCCTCTTTACCACATGCAGATTCCTTGCATTTGGGGTCTTATGACCACAAATTTTACAAGTATGCTCTTTAGCACTGTCAAGCTTTTGCATGCTATGAACTTGCATCCCACAACCTAAACTGATGACCTGCTTCTTATACTAACGAGATTATAACTAAAACCTTTCCATTAGACTCACTATTTGAAGGTGTCTTTCATAATGCCTCCCATCACCCTCACTTGAGAAGTTTAGCCCCACACCCTGCGACCAGTACATAAACTCCCCCATACCTTCAGCCATTCTCAACGGTTTCCTCAGAGACTTGAAGCTCAAACGTATCTTTTTGTGGCAAAGGGTGAAGAACAAACAGTATATTCAACATATGATACATATCCAATCTCTTAAAAGTTAAGCCATCTGTATTGTGTATCACAGATGCTCAAATCAACGCAAAAAAATGTGCACACGAACTTCTCCCAGTAGCATCTAAGTCTTTGAGCAATTTCTGAAAAACAAGAAGCGATACTGAAAAAATGAAAGAACAAAGTTAAATATGCAAAACAAAGTTTAAAATAAGACAGCATTTCTGTAATTACTTTCTTTTACAGTAATATCTGAAGCATATTACATATTGTGACAGTAAAGACTCTCAAGTTAAAACCAGGATTTCAAATGACAGCACCTCTGTCTTTAACTAAGCATTTACTTGAGTTTAATAAGCTGCACATAACTTTTCAGAACTGGAGTTTCAGGTGTAAAGTGGAATAAATTGCATGCTTCAGTGCTACCAAATCCCAAACCTTGTGAGAAACAAGGCATAGAATAAGAAAAGAAATGCAATGGTAGTAAGGACACCATTGCTACAAAACTCCAGAAAATAATGCTGCACAAGCCAAAGCAAGAATTACTGCTTTAACCAGACTGATTCACTAATTTATTGGGTTATGAACCAAAACTATATTTGTATATTTGAAGAAAATCATCTGGTATGGCTTTCTGATATGGATACAGTACACATACCATCATCAAAGGAAGTTAATACTTCAGATGTCAGCCTCTACTCATCATTGTTGAAAAAAAAAAATGTGCTATTATATATTTACTAAGAGTATTAAATCATAGTCATAGAATCAGCTAGGTTGGAAATGACCTTTAGTACTATCAAGTCCAATCTTTACCCCATGGGCAGCCAGTTTCTCCAGACCACTGTGTGAGACAGTGTCAAATGCTTTAAAAAGGCCCAAACAGACCTTATTAAATGTCTTAACAGACCTATTAAATATCTACAGCCTTTCCCTCTTCAACCAGGTGGGTCACCTTGTTGGACAAGACCAGGCTCAAGCAGGACTTGCCCCTCATGAACCTACTGTCATACACTAGCTCCTTTCAACAATTACTCCTCCCCAAAAATAAAAGAAAAAAAGAAAAAGAAAGTGAAACTATCATGACTGCTTTCTAATTTTAGAGGACTGATCACTGAATGTAGACCACAGGTTTGTACACTCTAGTAAGTTACCTGTCACAGCAAAATTCAAGGATACTGTAAAGCAAAAGCACTGCCATCCTTCAGTTGTAAAGCTTAACTATGAAGTTGATAAACAAAGTCTAAAAAAATTCAAAAATGTTCTCCTCCAAAAGATGTCAAAGCAGGATGTCATGAGTTCACACAACCACACTTCCACCTGTCGCAAGAACCAAACTCGAAATGTATGCTGCTGGTAACAGATTCGATTTTAAGAGCATTTTCTCCCTTCTATTTCTAAAACATATATACGGGCACAATCCAGCACCTCAGCTCTGCCGTTAGCGAGGCCTCACAGCACCATAGTACCAAGACGTGTGCCCTGGGCACTGCCCACTCCCACGGGCCCACCGTACAGGGAAGCACCTTCCAACTACCACACCTGTTTTCATTTTTCACCTGAGCAAAGGTGGCTGCACACTGCGTATGTGCAGTGCCTGCACGTCGCTCTGTGAAAATAACACGAACATGCTTACCTTGGACACCGACACTCTAACCTCTGGCCGTGCAAAACCCTTGCCTGGTCGAAGGCAACTAGGGGGCGAGCGCAGACCTTAGGCCTGCCGGACCGCCGCCCTAGCGGTCTACAGCGGCAAGAGGGGAACACGGGCCGGCCTCGCTAGGCACAACACCAGAGGGCACGGGCTGAGGAAACCCAGGAAGCGCAGAGCAGTCGCCCAGCAGGCACCTCACACCTCGCCAGGGAAGGGAAGGGAAGGGCGCTCACCCTCTGCCGACTCCAACAAGGGCGGGGCAGCCTCACGGCCCCCCTTGCCCTGCCGGGTCGTGGGAACAGTCCGGCTCCCGTCACCGGGTCAGGGCCACACCACTTCCGGCCATAGGTGCGACTGCAAACTCCTGGAGGGAGGGAGTTATCGCGATAAGAGCGGTGCGGCGAGACTTCCTTCTTAAGGGAGCCCGCGGTGAAGGGCGAGGAGCAGGAAGTATCGCGAGGTTTGCTGGCCCTATCGCGAGAGGCTGGCGCGGCGGGGTGGTGCTGTGTGCATCGTTGAGGGAGGGGGAGTGTTCTCCGTCGCCGGTCATGGGATTGTGTGGGGTCGTCAGTAGCCGCGGTGCCGCGGCTCGAGGGGCACTCGGGTCAAGGGTGGAGAGCTTCCGGGAGAGACGCGCAGAGGGCTGGGAGTAAGTCGTGTCTGTGCCGTATTACACCCACAGGAGCGCAGCGAGGTGTAGGACGTGTAGGGGTGTTGTACGAGTTAGCCGCTGCTGCAGGGTGCGGCGTTGCCAGAGCTATCCGGGGTGGAATGATTTGGCATCTTGACCCATACTGCTATACTGTAACGCGAGTTTCCTCCTAATGCAGCCCTTGTTTGTAACAACATCTGGAAAGGATGTTGTTGCAAACGAAGGAGTTAAGCCAAGAGCAAGTTATTTTGCATGAAGAATTTGCGCAGGTAAGGAAGTAGGGAAAGAAGCTGGTACCCTGCAGACGCTGCAGAGCCCAGCGATGGAGCTGGCGTGGTGGACAGAGCTGGCTGCGGTGATGTGGTCAAAGTACAGTAAAACCCGATGTACCCCAGGAGATGGCACTTGGGGAACAGGCCTAAGTGAGAGGTCCACTGATGCCCGTGCTCCGCTGCTGTCCATCTTCAGGAGAGCTTGGCTGGACATAGCAACGCTCTGCAAATTGTAAACTTGATCTGTAAGAAGCATATTGCTCTTGCTGAAAAAATTCAGACCCACCAAAAACCACCCAGATTGCTTCACATCTCAGTCGGAATTTAGCAGAAAGTACATGAAGGAATGAATTTTCAGATCCATGTTACTAGTATGGGTCTATGACAAAATGCTTTCAGATGTATCTAGCAGGCAATACTAAGTAGTTTCACAAGAGTTAGGTGTGTTATGTGCAAATATAATGCAAGAAATATTTTTAAACCTTTAACAGAAGACATCAGTTTGGGATGAATCATTGCTTCTACTTATATTGTAAGTTCAGTCATTTTAGTGACGAGGGATTAAGCATTAGAGAAAAAAGCTAGGATTCTTTTAGCATCTGCAGTAAAACTGTACAATGAAGATGGATATTCAGACTAGCTAATCAAAATCCTACATCCTACAGTATTTTCAGAAACCAAGGCAATAAATTTTCTAGTACATGGGTCTCCATGCTTTTTCTGCATGTAGCTAACATTCAGGCAGCTGTCTGCCTGCTCGAAGAATAAAGAAGCCTTGCAGAAACTGGAGCAGCATTATGTTGCTTCTTTAAGTAGTCTGCTATTAGCCAGAATTCTGTTCTAATAGAAGTTAATGAAAGATGGATGGTGTTTGATCAACAAATTATATTAGACTAATGGGAATATAGCAAGCTTGAAAGCACCAATACAGTTGTTAAGACAATAAACTGCATGAATATTGAGCACTGCATATGTTGGGGGAGGTTGTTCAACAATAAAACATAATACAGTACCAATAAATTACATTGTTTTAAAAATATACATGTCATCATGCACTTAACTATGTTCATGCCAAAAGAACGTGGGAAGAGCCAAACAAACATTAAACCAAAGCAGAAAACAGGATGGCATTTCAGATTTTAAAAATCTGGCAAAATAAACACAATGTAACTTTACCATGACCTCAGATACTCACACTCTCAGATACTTATAGTCAGATACTTTATATCTCAACCCTCAGAGCATCTTATTAAAATCAGCAAGTACATAGGCTCCAATTCGAACACAAGCTATTGAAGCTATTAAACTGAATCATGTGTGAAGATAAAGGTGTGTTTATACTACAAGGTGTTTATTTAACGAATGCTATGTTGCGTTTGACTCTTAGCAAGATATTTGTGCTTAATAAAGACATTCTCATGCAGAATACAGCTGTTATGTTAGTCACAGATACAGTATTACAACTTCACAATAGAAGGAAATAAGAAACTTATTAACCTCTTGCTCAAACATGCTAATTTTTCTAATAGGCAAGTAAATTCTGCCTACACTCCAAGAATCCCATTCTGCTTTTATGTCAGTGGTAAGACCTCGGTTATCTGGAAAGAGAATTGCACCTGAAAATCCCAATGAAGTCACTAGGGTGAGTCTCCATTACAGTTGTTAGGTACGCTCTTGATGCTTTTCCCCTCAGGAGGGGGATCATTAAAATTCCTCTCCCAAATTAAGAGCAGTTTCTGTGTCTTTACTTAGCTTTGTTAAAAAAAAACAAAAAACAAAAAGACAAAAAAAAAAAACAAAAACCAAGCTAGAAAACAAGATGGCCCAGTAAGATTAAGCCTTTTTTTCATGCAGTACCCTTACAGGACCAGGCCCATAACAAAAATGTTTTCAGAGGGTAGAGAATTCTTTAGCTCTGTCATGTACCTTTAAAAGTTTCTGTGATATAAAAGTCCATCTTTCAGGAATCTTTCTAGCACAAGTTAGAAGTTATCTGCTGGGATGCAAAGAATGTCTCACACCATGTTCCTTCAGGGAATGATTTGTAAAAGGATTTCATTTTGAAAAGCTGTTGCCATTACTGAAAAGTTGAATATATCCAAAACCGTTATTAAAATTTGAACTCTGCTCATATTTGACTTAGTTTAGATTTCATAAGAGGAGTGTCAGGCTCAGATAACAACCAAAATGAATTGGATGATGGAGATAAGCACTTTTTAAATATGTGTTATATCCCTGAAAGCATTTCACATGTAACATTGTGGCCTTCCTGTTCACTCTTCTTTGACAGAGAGAGGAGATAAATTAACTGATGTGCATCTAAAAAGAGCAGCTTAGTTACATTTACAGCATCCTGCATGTCAGTATGTCTGAAAACAAAGCAAGCTGGTGATTCTCAGATGCACTCAGCATTTGCAAGCCTGAAAGCCTTGGAAGGTACAGGCGCTTAGAATTTTTGAAAATGTCATTCAGTTGTTTAATTCTACACTAGAAGAAAGAATAGGTGGTTCAAGTCACTGGTATGAATTAAGCATGGAAGCATTAAGGGTGCTACAAAGAGTTTATAATGGGATGTGCACTGAATTAGCGTGTTGGAAAGGTTTTGGTCTCTCCATCAGTTCATTTGCCACAGTATTTTACACATTACCGATTA